ACAGTTCTTACTTCCAAAAAAAAACAAAAAATAAAAAACTGTGGGTATATTCTCAAAAATACTTTTTTTTTCTTTTATTTTTTATGAATAAGAATTTTTTGATTTACGTACACTTAATTCTAGAAAAAAAAAATTTCCTTTCTCATAAAATTTTAATATACAATATTTTATAATTTCATATAAAAAATTTTCAATAATTTTAACAGCATTTTTATCATAAGGGTTTTCATTAATTTAAAAAAAAATTCATATATTTTATATATATATATGTGTGTGTGTGTGTTTAAAAATTTTTTTCATTTTGGTTTTAGTTTTCTTGTGTTTGTTTTTTTTTGTTAATTTTTTTGTTTTGCATTTTACTAAAAATTATTAAAGCTTTTGAATCGTTTAATTAAATAGTATGTTTGTTTTTTTTTTTCTTTTTAAATAATAGTATTGTATTTGTATTGGCAAAATAATTGTGTTCCAAAATGCATGAATTGAAAATGAAGTCATAATGTTAGATTTTGACAAAATAAACAAAACAATTGAAAAACAATTCAAAAGAATATCAAAATAAATAATTTAAAAGTATTAAAGTAAAAATTAAGATTTTACATAATTTTTCAAATAAAAATTAATTAAAAATTGTCTTTTTTTTTTAAAAGCCAAGTACTTTAGAATATGGAAATATGTTTAAATCTGTAATAGGTTGCTATTGCGTTGATATTGTTAGATTTATAAATAGTAGAAAAAAAGGCTCATACAATATAACTGGACCCTATTACACCAAACACCATTTACATTTAATTTTTCTCTTATTTGTTGAAAAACAGAAGTTTTTCATTAGCAACAGAAATTTTTGCAAATTTGTTTTGATGCAACAGGGCCCTGATCAAAAAACAATTACAAATTTTAAAATAAAATAAAAATTTAATTGTATTTTTTTGAAATTTTTTGAAAATAAAATATTCAAATTTAAATTTTAATATTCAAATTAATTTTACGAGTAATAAAAAAAAATTTAAAATTGAAGATTTTCGTTTTAATTATAATCAACAAACAAATAAAATAAGATTTTTTTAAGCACAATGAAATTCTTCCAATGTGTACATATGAAAAATTTTATATTTTTACTTTCTATTTCTTATGTTTCTTTTATATTGAATGTTATTATGCATATTTTAAGGAACTAGAAGCAATAAAAAAAAAATTTTGTTGTTTTATTTAAAATTTTCTTTGTAAAATTTCATGAGTTTCAAAGTGCAATAATATAATTTTTAAATTATCAAATTTAAAAAACATATTATTGAAATATGAAATTTCCAGAAAAGAATTTGAATTAAAAAAGTTTTTTTTTTTTAATTCGTGATTTTAAAATTTTTTTTTACATACAACATTAATTCCTTATACATATTTAATATTTTATTATTTTAACATTTACACATAAATTTCAATATAAATTAAATTTGTTTATGTAAGTAGTATTTTATAGACATTTTATAGCAATTTTTAGTTTTAAATTTTAATTTTAATATTTTATTTAGACTCGTTGTAATTTTATTTCAATTAAAATTAACAAGTAATAAAAAATTTTTAACTTAATATTTTTCATAATATTAAATTATACTTAATTTTTTTTTAATAAATGTATAAAGAAATTTATAAATGAACTTATTAATATATATATATTTAAAAATCAAATATATGATAATTTGCATACTTCATTTAGTGCATACATATTATTTAAAACATTTGAAGGAAAAGATTATTGAAAATTTAAAAATAGAATGAAATTTAAGACTCATATTATAATCTCAATATGTTTTAACTATAAAATTATATTCATTTTAGTATTTTGAAAAATTTAAATTTACTATTAAATGCTTTTAAATAATTATAATACAAATAATGAGTGAGTTTTACTCAGAAACAAAATTATAATATCTCGATTTATTAAAATAATATTAAGTTAAAAGAAAGTATAAAAACAATATTCAGATACAATGAAAAAAAAATTTTTTTTTGAAAAATAAATTAATAATAGGTCGTCTACCAAAGTGTAAATCTAACGTCAATTTGACTTATTCGGCAATATTAAATTTGCATTTTGGTAGATGCCCATAATTAATTAATTTTTATAAAAATAATTATTTTTATAAAAATTTAAATTATTTAAGATTTTCGTTCTTTTGTTTGTAAATATGGCAATAAATTTAAAATTTTAAAAATACTAATATAAAAATAGAAACATTTAATATATTCGAAATATAAACAACATATGTATTATATAACTAGCTAATAAAAAATAATATAGCTGTTATTTAAGTAAAAGAGGTAGAGATATTTCATATTAGATTAAAATTTAAAATGTAATTAATTAATAAATCATATAAATAATATATTATAAATATATTAAATTTATTAATTAAAAAAATTAATTAGAATTAAAAAATGAAATATTCAATAGTTGTGTAGTGCCATAAATAAATTAATGTGTATAAAGTACAAATATTGATTTTTAAAAAAAAAAAACCAAAAAAAGAGAATATTTGCAGAATATTTTAAAAATACAATTATTTTTACATATTTCATAAAAGAATTTATAAAATTATATTACACTTATATCAATATAATTTTATAATATTATTTATATTAGATATGAACATAATTAAGAAATTAAATTTATTTTATAAAAGTTAATAAATGAATATACAAATATGAGCAACTTATTTCGCTTATTAATTTGATTTTAATCATTTTTTTCTTATTTTCATCATAAAAAATAAGAATGCAAAAAATCATTTCATAAAGCTCTAATTTAATTATCTATTTGATATTTGCGATTATTTCCTATATAACTTTACATAATTTATATTGTTTTAAATTTAAATAAAAGATAGAAAATATAGAATAAGTAGAGTTATTACAAATATATAAATTTTGAGATTTTGATCTTAAAAACAATAATTTAGTTGTGCTATCTAAAAAATTAAAAAAAAAAAAAAACTTTTATACAGAACTATTGATTTACTCTTTTTTCTTAATTTATTTAAAATTTTAATAACATTATGAATTATAATAAAAAAATTTTTTTTTTAAAATCATTTAAATTTGCTTCAATATTTACAATAAGTGTATAATATATAGATAAATATTTTTGTAAGTACTAAAAAAACAAAAATGATCTTATAAATCAGATTGGAAAAAAAAAATCTTGTACTGCCACTTATATTTGGATATGGTTTATTTTAAAAGTGAACTAAGTCCACTTGCAATTTTAAAACTTTTTTTAATTATCAAAGCAATGATTATGTCAATTGTTGAAATTGAAGCTTATGTTGTTTGAGTAGAAAAATAAATATACTTAAGAGTAAATGACCAGTTTAATAATCGAGCTTTTGGTTACTTTAAACTCAAACATAGCAATATTTCATTTTATTTCAAAATAAACTTGGATCACTTTCAAGACAAACCAATCCTTTTAGAATTTCTTTTGTTCTTTTTTTTTTCAATTTTTTTTTTTTTGCTTTTTTTTTGTTTTAAATAAAATTTTGTAAATATAAATATATCATTAAGTTTTATATAAATGTGAAATATGTTTTATATATTAATATTTTTGTAAATAAATGTTTTAACACACATATATACTATAGAAGAAATATGTATATAAATACAAAATTTACAATACATGTACATAAAATATTTTTTTATAATATGTGAGTTTAAATATATTTTTGTTTTATTTTTGTTTTATTTTATTTTATTATTAAAAACATTGAAAGAAACGTTGTTGTAAATTAAAAAGAAACGTTATGATTCTTTCGAGCACACCAATACGATTACGACTATTATTTGTACGGGAAGACACTCATGCAGCTGAAAAAAGAAAAACAATTAAAAAAAAAAACATGGAATAACATAAATTATGCATATAGAAGCCAACAATAAATTTTATAAAATAATAATATTTATATATTTTTACATTTATATTACATAACTAAAACAAAAAAAAAATTAATATATAAATAATTCTTTGTATTTAAATTCTTTGTTTTTTTAAATATTGTAATTAAATGAGAATATTTTAATTATGTATATTTTATGGTTAATCTAAAATCTAATAAAAATTTATATACTTTTTAAAAAATAATTGAAAATTTATTTACTATATAATATTTTATTCTTAAATAGTATTTATGTATTTATTAATTATTTATTTTATGTAATTAGATTTATTAATGTTTTAAAATGTAATTTTTTTAAATGTTATTTTTTTATTACATATAATAATTAATTTAGCATATTTCCATTTATTTAAAGCAAATAAATTAGTTCTTCAATTAAAATCATAAAAATAAATTTAAATAAATATTCGAAAATTTATTAATATTAATAGTTTTCGAATATTTTAGAATACAAAATTATAAATTTGTATTAACGCCATAATTAAAAATTATTTTTAGTCTAAAACTTAAATTAATATTAATTCTTAAAATTTTTAAATTTATCATTTTTATTTAAATAAAATTTTGAAATCGTTTTTGTTTTTTTTATAAAAGCAGCCGGTTTTTTTAAAAAGGCAAAAATTAATTGTGAAAAATTGTGATTCATACAAAATAAAATTTTTTTAATTATCTTTTACTCACTTAAATTTAATAAAGGAAATATGCTAAATATAAAAGTTTGAAATGTTTTAAAAATGTTAAATAAATATAAATTAATTAAATTTTGAAAAAAAAAAAAAATATTATCAATCTTACATGCACAACAGCAAGCTTCATAATTTCTCTAACTTCTAATTTTTCAATAATAAATATTTATTAGTCGTAACTTAGTAAAGCTTTTTTATTTGTTTAAAAGTAGGTATGGTATGCATAATAGTTATAATTTTTAACAAGTTTTCTGCCCAAAAAATCTTGAAACTGAACGCAATTTAAATTCAAAAAAAAAAAAAATTATAATAAAATTTTAGTTTTTTTTTTTTTTTAAAAAAGCAATCAATCAATTTTCTCATTTATTGTAATTCTAATTTTTTTTGTATTTTGTTTTCTCTGTTTTTTGTTTGCCTCTTTTAAATACTGTTTTGTCTTTTCAAATTAATTTTTTTTCGATTTTTAATTAATAATCAATGGGATGGACTATCATTAATTCGATGTTTAACTTGTCGTGCTTTGCTGCATGATGCACGTCGTAAGGAGCTAACGCTTCCGCCAAAATTATCATGATCTAATGATTCCGATGAAAACGCTATATTATAGGGAAGAAATATTGAAAAAGGGATTTTTTTTTTGTTTTGAAAAAAAAAAAACCAAAAAAAAAATATACATACATATAAAACTCAAATAAAAAGGATTAATTTCTTTTTTTTTTTTTGTCTTTGTTGTTTTATCGTTTATCTTTTTTTTTTTTTTGAATTAAATAAAAAATTAATGAAGTCTGAAAACCATTGAAAAAAGCACAGTAATGAGTTTGATGATTATGATTCATTTACTTAACGATGAGTTGTTCTTTTATTTTAATAACCATGTAAGTAGTGTTAAAAGAGTTTTTTTTTTTTTAATATTTTCTAAATAAAAAATGAAGTTCTATGAATTTTTAAATGCTAAAAATTTCTTAAATATAATGCAAAAATTTAATATAATTTATAAAATATAAATATAATATACTTATATAGATATTGTATTTACAAAATTAAAAACAAATTATATCTGTACAATTAAAATTATAAATTAAAAAAAAAAACAATATCGTTTTTTTAATATTAAAATGTTATAAAAAGCTTTTAAAAACCTTTGTCAGTCGGAGATCCAAGTGTTAAACTGCTTAAACTTGAACTTAAATTATAGGGTCTTGGTGATGGTGGTACAGGAGTTGATTCGTCACCTGGTAAACATGTTTCCACCATTGCTTCTAAACAATTTACAAATAATTCTGAAGATTCTCCCATCATATTATACTAAAATAAAATATTTTATAACAAATTTTATAATATTATAAAAATTTAAGTTTCAAATGCTATTATAATAATAATTGAAACATATATACCTTTGTAAATGGTCCAGCAAAACGCCATAATCCTCCAAAACCACAACTTTGTAAGAAATGTAATTGTTGTTGTGATGGATCTTCACTTGCTAACATATTTTGTACGATACTTTGCACAGCCATCAAAACGAGATGATCATTTGATATTGACAGTATATTATTTATTTTTTGATCAAGAAGTGAATGTCTAAAATTAAACAAAAAAAAAAAACAAAAAATTAAAATTTTTAAAATATTTCCACTAAAATAATTAAAACAAAATAAAAGCCAAAAAACAAATTTTTAATATTACATCACAGGGAAAACTTTAGGGAAAACAACACTCCCTTCAGCTAAATACTGATATAAGACTCGAGTTTCTGATTCATCTGTTGAATATTTTACAAGAGTTGCTAAAACCGTTAATACCAGAGCTTGTATTGATAAATCTGATAAAACATCTGGATCTAATAAAACATTTGATTCATTTGAAACAGATGAACGTGATCCACGCTCCTATAATAATATAAAATTGGTTATATAAATATATATTTTTTCAAAAATCTTAATATAATTATAAATTTTAAATTTGAAGACTTTATTTAAATTGACAATTACATATTTAAACACTGACACATTACATTTTTATATTCTGATACATCATGCACACGTTTAATTTATTTTATTTTTATAGCATTTTACCTCTATGTACAAATAAAATTTTAATCAAATATATTGGTGGGTTAAAAAAGCGTTAATACTTGATTTTTTATATTTTCTTATTGCATTCTGTTAACTTCGCCAATTATTTTTTAAATTCTATATCATAATATAGGTCCTGAAAAGGAGTTTAGTTAAACTATAACTCCCGAACGTTTTTAAACAAAGAAATTATTATATATATACATATAGATAAGCATGTACATATATTATAAAAATTTAATATAGAAAGCAAAATATTTTTAATAGAAGCCAATAAAGAAGGTTCGTAACCATAAATTAAGAATAAATATTCAAAATTTTCCAATGTTGTTAATAAACCCACAATTTTTGAATAAAATTTTATTAAAACTTTAGAAATATCTTTTGTAATTATAATTATATGTTACCAGGGTGGGTCAATTTTATTTTTAATGGTTTAAAATATTATTCTTAAATTACGACAAATAGACAACTAATAAATGAGAAATGTTATTGTGTAAAATTGACTTAAAATTTTTAAAAATTCAAAATATGTAAATTAATACCTGATGCTCATCGACTCCAGATGAATTATTCGGATCTTTTGTTGTTGGCACAGAAAATGAACGTTGAGTTTTAAATAAAACTCTAGCATTCTGTGTACAAATGTTTTTTTTTTAACGCAAACATTTTTATTTTATTTGCAATATTGAACCGGTAACAATTGTTTATTTTTGCAGTGATAAATTTTTGTATGTGGAATTTTCGTTTATTTTTTAATTAATACATATTTTTTGATAAAGATGGTAAAATAACGTAAAAATAAAATTGTTGAAAAAACAAATAATAATAGTAGAAATTAAAAAAATAAATAAATTTTGGCATTAAAATAAATACACAAATTTACGACATCAATTTAGGTTTCGAATATAGAATATTTTATTATTTGAGGTAAAATAAAAAATTAAATCATGCGTTTTCAAATAAATAACATTAATTTTAATGTTTGGTACGATATTATGAATAAAAATTAAAGGTTAAAATTTTGAGTTTCAGGGGAAAATTTTACACAAAATTATTTAAGGAAGTAAAAAAGCAAAAAAATAAAATAAAACAGTGGATATGATATAAAAGTTAAGATTTCATTAAAAAAAAAAGATAAAATTTGCAGCAATAAAATACAATCGATAGTTGTTGTTATTTTTAATTTAGCAAATATGTTGTATATTTAGTTTAGCAAGTATGTATGATGAGTTTTATAAGTGTTTTTATATAGATATTAGTTTATATCCAGAGATAGCAATTACAAGGCAATCAATCAACCAGCAGGCATTTTAAACAAAAAAGAAAGAAAAAAATTAAAAAAAGATATTTAAAATTTAAGTAAGAATTTAAATTAGAATGTAAACAAAACTATAAGAATTTGAATTCGATTTTAAATTAAGCAAAAGAAATAACCATTTGAGTCGAATTATAACATAAATTCTGTTAAACAACAATTTGTTTTAATAAAAATTTCAGTACATCGCATTATACAACGCTTTCGTAGAGGTCTGGGGCCTTTACACACTTTTACCTTAAAGATCAACTTAAATGCTTATTATGGATTTTCAATTTTCTTAAAATTAATTAAATAGAATTTTCTATTTCCTAGGAAATATAATTTTTTAATCTACCTTTTCTTAAATAGAGGAATTATTTTTTATGTATTTATATACAGATATAAATTTAAAATAAATTTAAAATAAAAGCGCCACGTTGTTAAAATTTTAAAAATCCTTATCATATACTTAAAGTTTTATTTAAAAAAAAAAATTATTAAAAAACTTTTTAACATTATTGAATATTTTATAGATATATAAAATCCCGAAATAATTTGCCTAAAACTAAAAAGTTTTAAGTGACAATCTACACGCTGCTTTAAAATATTTAATTGTAAAGCATATTATATTGTTTATAAAAAATACTACATGAATTCTTTTTCCGCTTTTCAAATTTAAAATAAATAAGTTGACAGAATCAATTAAAATAGAGTTAACAAAAGAATTATAGATCTAAGCAGAATATCATAGCTGCATTTTCAACAAATTTGAATAAAATTTAAAAACACAAATATGAAAATAAAGAGTTTAATGTGTGGTAAGAAGCAACAGTTTCTTTAATAAAACTAAAAACTTTTACCTGATGTGGTTGAACTTTATTATGTCTAGCATATGAAATTGCAGATTGATCAAGAATATCCCATGATTTTTGTCTTCTTGATAATGGTAATCCGATCTAAAATGTATTATTTGATATAAATAATTTTTTTCTTGGGTGAATAAAATTTTTTATCTTACTGAAACACTGGGATTTGCAGGATTTGTTGTATCACTAACTTCATTACTTGAAATTTCGGTAGGCCAACGTGGTAAAGTATGCTTTACGTGACATCTTGATCTAACTTCTTCTGACGTTGCAACAAGTGCTGTTAAATATGCAACACTATCCTGTGTTACTTCGTACTTTTCGCGATTATATGGTTTTGAAACAATCCCCAACAACATTGATAATACACGAGTTGTACGTGTTACAGTAGTTGGAGTTGGATGGCGGAAACCCTAAAAAAATTTTTAGAAAATGAATTGAATATATAAAAATAACAGAAATTTTACCTTGAGCAAATGACCAACTAAAGCAAAATGGAAATTACTTTTGAATGATAGCCCTACAGCATGATCAAGCTGTTTAAAATGCCACTCTAATGGTTCTCTTGTTGCCATCATTACGTCAGATAAATTTGCTTTTTCAAATATTTGTTGAGAATTTAATGTATGAAGATTCTGTTCTAATAAAGCTAAACCAGCAGCATACAATGTAATTTCATCTAATTGCAAAACTGAGATTGCAACCCAAAACAAAGCTTTATGAATTGGTGATTCGGGTCGCAATAGCGGTTGTATTCTTGTTAAACACATTACGATTCCTTCTATTAAAATTATATCGTTAAAAGATTCTACAGCTTTAACTAAAATACGTAGCAACTGTTTCACTTCAACGTCTATTATGCTTTTGCTGATGCAGCCAAATACAATTAATGCTCTTGGCTGAAGTGCTGGGTTATAGCAAAAAGCAAAGTTCCTTGCTAAATTAGTCCATACTTGAAGCCAGTCACAATTTGGATAATCACGCATACACACTTCCATTACCTCCAGCAATGCATCCGTTAAAACCTCTAAAGACACTAATGGCAATCGTTCACGATCTGAAGGTAAAGGCTGCGACACTCTTTCATTTCCCAACCATTTGTCGTTCGGATGACGACAACTAGAACGAAAAGCTGTGACTGCAGCTGATTTTACTTTACTAATACCAAAAAGAGATCTGAATTTTGTAAATGAAAATTCTGCCAATGATAAACGGAGAACTCTTTGAGCTTCCTCCGAGAATGATGGTTGGGTACAGGTACATAGTGAATGAATAATGTTAATAACCAAACCATGAGTTGAAGCTCTCATAGAAGCCGAACCCGAACAAACTAATAATGTAACAATGTGAAATAGATACGGTAAATGATTCGCTACATCCAAACAATTATTGAAAGACAACATCAACAGATATCTTCCAAGTATAGCTATATCGTCCCACATCATATGTTGTTCTAAATATTGTGTTGGGTTTGTGCAAGTTTTGTCCATAACACGACACATTCTTGTTATAACTTTTTTCGAAACCATTTGAACATTTGCTGAAGCAAGAGCTACTGCTGTGTCAGCCATAATTTCAACTTGCGGAGAACCGAGTCCAAATGTAATTGATTTATGCAAGAAATTATCTAATACCATATCAATAAGATCTGGAATTTGACCAATCGAACCCCAAATTTTCGCTTGAATTGAAGGATACATTTCTTTTTGTTCGATAGTTAGGTTAATTAATTTCTCTAATATTTGCGACACTTTCAGTTTTTTGGCATCGTCATTGGATTTACAAAATTTAACGAGATTTTTTAACCATGGTGTCATATATTCTAAGCACAAATGTTTTAATTCTATGGTACTCCTTTGAAATCCTTGAATGCACTCTTCTAAAAATTCCAACGTTAAATGCGGTTCGTTTACAGCTAATTTTTCACTAATCGATTTAATAAAAATAGTATTATTCGATGGAATACATAAACCTTTCGTTTCTAACAGTTGCCCTTCAATTTTCAGATCAAAAGTTGCTGTTAAAGCGCAAAGTAAATTATAAGCTGCTGATCTTAAATCCGGATAAGAGGAACCTAAATTTACAAGAGCCATATTGAGTAATGTTCCAGGTACATCTTTTGGTCTAATCTTTTGATGAACTGTAACTGAATCTGGCTGACTTAGTTCCCATCGATTTCGTATGTGAATAATAGCTTGTACAATATTATCACAATCGTTGTGTATGAAGCTAAGTTGTCCACTTTCATTAGAAATCGAAAGAGTGAATTGATTATCATCAACTAAGCAAACTTCTTCAATTTCAGATGCGTAGTAGATATCATTCAGTAGAACAGAATGTGCCAAAACTTTGGTTTTCTCGGCAGAAGTAATTTGTAAGGCCGTAGGTCCAACCTTAATGGCAACTTTTGTATCTTTATGACTTAATTTAAGAGCATTATTAAAAACTTTAAGATCTTCGTCTAAAGAAAGAGTAGCCCCTGGTAGTTTTTGTTGCTCCGGTTCGATGAAATCGTTTAATTTATTTGGAGAATCTAAAAACACAAGTTTTCTATTTCCCTTTAACGGGGCTAAAATTCTATCATGGAATTTGGTATATTCACGGACCCATGAGTTGCAATTATATATATACACTGCATGGACATTTTCATAAGCTACTCCAGGTAAAACATAAAACCACTTTTGTAAGAATTCTGTTCTGAAACGGTTATCAGAACAAGTATGAGTAAAATCTATCACTATTTCATATTGAGAGTGGCAAAATGATTTTAAACTAAGTATAACATGATATATTAATAAATCTCCGTTCGTCTCACCGATCCTGAAACGAAATATAATTTTTTTATTTTGAAAAACCAATTTTTGTCAAGCGATCTTACTTATAGCGCCGGGCAATGTAGTAAAATACAGGAAACCCTGCTTTACTAGTGCCAGCTTGGTAAAATATATTCATTGATTTTAAAGTCTTAAACTCTTCTTTTTCATGCATTTGATGTTTGACCATTATCTCTTCGAAGTTAGTGGACGACATGTCTATAGAGCTCCACCGAGCATATGAAGAAAACATTATACTAAAAAAATTCAAAATATAAAAAATTTTGTAAAAAACGTTATTACAAAAAGTGGTGAATTATTACTGGGAATCCACGGGTTTGTGCTCTGGGGGGCCAACATATGCCAATAGCGTTACCATTTTATCAAAAGGCCTTCTACCAACTGCTTTATGATCACGACTACTTGACAAAAAGTCGCCAATTTTTTCCTGATGTGTCCACAACAATCTATGTAAAGCTAATACATTTGGTTCTGAAACATAGCTCATGTTTTGCGCCATCTGCTGATCTAATGATTCACAATCGGAAGCTATAGTAACAAAAAATCTTCGCCCGACTTCAAAATGAGCTTTTAAAAAGTCATTGAAACAAAGCATATGTTGTTCTTTTGAGAACTCTACGTGATTAGCAATATTCTGGAGGATTTTAGACATTAACATTAATCCGCGTTTAACAGTACTTGGTACTTGCTTTCCAACTATACCCAGTTCCTGTGGACTGACGATTGCAGGGTTAATGTACCTTAAAAATATCACAGTGCCAACAGCACCAATATTATTTTGTAACAAATTGGGAAATCGTTTACTCAAAACTTGATATAAACAGTGACACATGGAACGTAACTGAGGTGGAAATTTATCAGCAGAATTAACAATCGCATCAAAGGTTCTTTGAGTCAAAGCAATCAAATTTTTACGATTTTGTTCAATATCATCATTAGGTTCTAATCTTGCAGGATCAACTTCAAAACACGTAGTTGTATCATCTAATAATGGTCTGATTAATGGTTCAAGCAACTGTTGCAGATAATTGGAGCCATATATTTTAAAACAAAACGCCATTATCTTGCTTCCAAGAGAGTTTCCACGAAATAAAGTTTGCATACAGTCAGATACCTCAACTTCACGGTAGAACATATTCCACAATAAAGGCGATAACAAATGCTTGCAATCAAAAAGTGTAACCAAAATTCTTGCTAGTTCATCCATTTGTGATGTAGTTACCACATTGGCTAATGCCATAGCTATCGGCAGCTCCCCTTTATCACTAATCATTGTTACGAGTTGAACTAGTTGTTCGTAACGATCTGCCATAACAGTCTCAGCTAATGTATCAAATTCAGTTCCTTGTTGCAAAATTTTTCGTAAAACTTCCATAAACGCAGCACGTGTTTGTAAATCGGGATTGTAACCCAAATCTATAGAATGCATTAGGCCCGAATCAATGTTGGCACCTAAAAGATTTGACATTGCTTGAATCGTGGCATCCCGAAGAGCTGATAGCTTCCCTGCAGCCATTCTCGGTCGTGGGGGTAGTAATGGGGCACTACTAGGTACACTTCCATCAGCTTCAGATGAGTCGTCAATGCAATCGTTCAAAAGATTCATAAATAAAGTGAAATACCTAAAATAACAAAAGTATTAAACAGTGTGACTGAATAATTGAACATACAAAAATATACTTCAAAAACAAAGCACTTTTTGCATCCATTAAATCTCCTCTGTCAGATTCTTCAGGTTGTAGTGGTAATCCCTTTAATAAAGCTGCAACAGCTTCCATACAAGCTTGATCCAAATCACGAAAAATCAGCGAGGTACTGAAAATTATAATTTAAAAAAAAATTATTTGTTATTTGGTGTTTGCTATTTACTTGGTAATTATAGTAGCATCAGCTGCAGTTGGCGGAGCTATCTGATGCGAGGTTCCCATTACCCAATCTGTTAAGTATTCAACAAGTTTGTTTCTAAATTTCATTTCTTGTCTGAAAGCTAAATCATCTCTTCTTTTCATCATAACTTCAACCAACTGACACAATTTTGTTTTAATACGAATGGCATAAACTGTCATGTCTAAATGACGAACATATCGTACAATTCCAAGCATCATTCCTTCGATACTTGTAATCCCAAGATGTTCAGCTGTTGGAAGTGGATCTTTTCCGTTGCACTTATTTGGGTCCAAAATAGATTTCATTATGTAAATTGTATGTTCAATGAATTGAGTATTAATATCAGTCACATTAACTTGTCCTTGTTGGTCGAAAAATTTTTCCACTATAGCTCGTATCTGATCAAATAGTATTGGATATAATTGAGAAGACATTTCATCACCGATTAATTCTTTAACATGTTTTTGTATATTTAGGCCAATCTTTTCATTGCTGCAAACTAGAAGTCTTAAAAGCTGTCCAATAAATCTGTAAAAATTAAATATAAATTCATGCAACTTTACAAATATAAGATGTTGTTACTGTGTAACTGGACAGTATTGGATTTCTTGAGGTGGGGCACCGATTGAACTGACTAGTGATATAGTGCTTGGATGTAGAGATCCGCGACCAGAACTAGCTGAACTAGATAGTGAATATAACGAATTTTGTGCAAGTGATCCTAACGATGAGTTATTTTGACTTTGAAGTAGTTGCCGAGTGTTCCGCGGCCTTTGAAGACAAACACCACCTAATGCTAATAGAAACCACGTCATATTAGACCATTCCAAAATTTGTTCTTCAAGATCATGTTCGGAGCTCTGATGACTAGCCCTCCGTTTTCCCATACCACGATGAAAAAGTTCAGCTTGTCCATCTTCTGTTTTACACTTTGGATAAGATTGCAATATTTTGCTGGAAGCTTCCCAATTTCTAAAATTATTGAAAGCTTAGCGAAATATGAAATTAAACAAAATATTTATATTTACCTAAAAGTTTCCTCCCATGCTGGCTGCACTCCATTTACGCAATGTTCAATATTTCGTAGTAAACACATAATTCGTTTCTGTAAAGCCATTCTTCCTTGAGCATGTTCGAAAAACCCAAACCTTGATTCAGTATTTACTATAATAATAATAAATGTTACTATTTTTGAAATACTTTTTTAAATTTTAGCAAATTACCTGTAGAAATTTGTGATAATTCTTGATATATATGATAATTGGGCATTACAAACCCAACAGTCATTTCATCAGCCCCACATCGGATCTCAGCTTCTTCGCAAAGCAATCCAAAACAAGATAAAGCGGTTATCACAGCATCTAAATCCACAGACCACAAATACATAAAAAACACAACCTCCAGTTTGATATGTGCTTGTTTACAAATCGCAATTTGACTTCCAACATGTGCGTAATCTTTATGTCGTTGTAAAAATGTATTTCTGCATATTAAAATTTCTCTAAGCCATTTCAAAACATCAGTATAATTAGCTATCTGATGTTGTATCAGTTTTTGGGATATTGAAAACAATACTTGGGAACTAACATCCCAAAACGTGTTTATTGGCGCTTCGGGATTCCATACTTCAATTTTTTCTGGTGCATGTAAGGCCAACAATGCCTCCATCGCTTCTTGTGCCACGTCATGCATTGTTGGTTGATGAACCAAACTAACTAAACCATTTATTAATTCTAGCGTTGAACTTTGAACTTCGTGAGCTACTTTTCCTTGAGTCTACAAAAAACATTTTCATGAATTTAATTTTAAACTTAAATTTTAAATAAGACATTTACATTTAATAATAGCGTGGGATCAGCATGAATGAGTCGCACCATTAACAAAAGAAGTTGCTTATGTCCAGGACCTTCATCGGGCCTTGCTAATCTATTTTGAGTATCTTTTGATTTTAGGGTCAAAGATGTTATCATTCTTAAAGGGGTGTGAGCAATATAACCTTGCGTTGCTTTATTTAAAGTATCAGTAAAAAGCGCTCTCAGTTCAGATGATCTATAATGAACAACATCTGTTTGAGGCCACCATGGTAATCTTTGTTGCCGTACAATTCTTAGTAATGAATGAACAATAACTAAATGATACACAGGAGGAGACGACAAATTTAGGCAAACTTTTAAAGTATCGACGTTATGCGGACTAATACGAAAGCAAGATACCCAACAATCAATCATTAAATCAATATCTGCTTGACTGCAGCCTTGCGAACCTCTGGAAAACGGTTTAGCAGGATTGAAAAGTAAAGCTTTTAAATCATTCATTATGTATTGAACTAATTTAAATATAACATGATTTGAATCAGCCGTATTTATATAAGTTGATGCTTTGCATAATTTAACACAGGCTATAGCAGCAGATTCAGTTACTTGTTTTGAAGGGGCATGCGGACCTAGACTTTTTTTCACTGTTTCAATAAACTGTTTTGCTGACGAATCTTTATCTCTGGTTGTTGTCATTTTATCTTTTCCCTGTGTTTTATCTTTGTCTCTATCACGCTCCTTATCTTTTTCTTTGTCCATATGTTGAAGCTCATTGACAGTTGATTCTAAAGCAGGCTAAAATTATACTTAAAGATTAGAACCATAAAGAAAGTTAAAACAATCTTTGCTTACAGGATTTAAAATTAATAGCAGCATTTGTAATGGCCAAACATATGTTTTGTTTTTCTTATTTTCGGTCTTATAGGCCTCTACAAAATCTAAAAGGGGCTCCCAGCAGCTAGAAGTAAAGAATTTAATAATATTTATTTATCGGTTATTGATTTTTTGGTCAAAAAGTTACATACGTAGTTATATCACGGTTAAGACCCCTTTGTAAGTCTTGAAACTCTTGAGGATGTACTTCAATCCAGTTCCATATAGCCTTTTCAAGAGAATTCAATAATATTAACGGTGGGGCTTTTTTTGATCTGAATTTCTGAATAGTTTCTGTAATATTTTAAAGTAGTATCAAAAATATAAAAAGCTCTATTTTAAATTTTAGTTATTTTATATTATTTTCATCTCAAATTGGTTTACCTTGAAGTAATTTAGTCAATTTAGCCATATCCATATCAATGTGTTGAATAAGTTCAATATCACTATAATCAGGATTTTCCTCCGAGCAAGAAGCTAATTCTTGTATTCTAGCTGAGATTCGATTAAATACTGCTGAGAAATGATTTTGCGACAACGCAAACAGGACTTTTGATGCAAGATTTTTCAGTTGTGTTGCATGAGTGCTGTTATCGGTCGGTATATCTAAAATCCAACATAGTTATATTTTTAATAAATCATCCCACAAGTTATTATCACATAATTTACCAATAAATTGAGATATTTCACGGAGTAATAGTTTCACATTCATTGCTTCTTCGAACCTTGCAGTATCTTTTGATTGGTTTGAAAGACATTTTTCTAGAGTAGTTAATATAATCATTATGGAATCATAATAATATTTTTCAGGTTCATGTCCTCGATATATAAGTGCCTAAAAATATTAATATTTTAGCAAAATCTATAAAAACCATTCCATAATAAAACTTACAGATTCATTGACCCTTTGTAGCATTTTTGTTAAACCCGAAATTACTAAGGAAAACCTATATCTAGATATTTGAATTAAACAATTTACTAATTGCTCTTGATTTATCCTTTGTGATCCTATTAATCCAATTTTGTTTGGTAACTAAAATAGAAAAAAAAATATTTTTGTAATTTAAAAATAAAATCTTCTTAAAGTTAGATATGTACTTATTTCTTAACTAAATTTCACACACATAATAACAACTGTAAAATTCACGTTAACTATATATATGTACCTGTGTATTTTTATAATATAAATATCAATTGTTCTATTTATTTCACTGTGTACACTGTACATACATATACGAACATGGGTATTTGATTAAAATTCTAAATTCCATTCATATCCGCTGAATAAAAACAATACAATAACAAAAAATATTTTTTTTATTACAACTTTACCTACATAAGTATTTCCCTTTTCTTTTCTCATTTTTCTTTTCATTCATAATCCAAACTCATTCATAAGTGTTATGTACTCCTTTTTTTATAAATCATTAATAACACCGGCAAAAATAAATTCTAGCTGTCAAATATCAGCTGTATAAATATTTTACAAATTTACAAATTCATTCATAAAAATAAAAATATCAAAATAAACATTTCCTCTTTCACTCACACATTTTATATCTTTCTCTCTTCCACAATTTTATTGATCCGAAAATTTTTGACACCCAAAATTTTTCACAAAAATTGAAAATTTTCAAATGCATTTTTCAACTCACCGTTTCCTCGAAACGTATCAATATGGAATTCGCCCATTCACCGGGCTTTTGTGTAGCCATTTTACGATATTTTTATTAAATTATTTTAATGTTTTACCATATTTTAAAAATAAAATTTTTTGGAGCAAAAAATTTGTGTATCTTAATTTTCTTGCAAAAAAGTGACGTTTAATTGCTTTGTTGCCAGTTCAAAATAATTTTCTTTAAAACAATACTGCCACACTTTTTCAAAAAAAATACGATAATAAAACAATTTTTACGATCACACGCATAAAGCGCAATTTATTCGTTAGCTTGATCATCCATCTTTTGGCATGTCGTTGAAACTAGTAGAGGATACGAGTTTTTGTTTAATTTTTTTCTAGTTATAAATTCTTTTTTAAAAAGAGTTTAGAAAAAATTTTGAATGTTGAATTTCAACTTATAAAAAATGTGTAATATAACAATATATTTGAGTGAAAATTGAAATTATTAAATCCGTATAAATCAAAGAGAATTAAGTGTGTTTGAAGTATGCCAAAATTTACATCTTGATGACAAATCTAAATTATTTTGATTGTTTGGAATACTTTAATAATTTATTGTTTACGTGATTATTGTTGCGTAAATATCATTTATTTATGTATATATCAAATTACATTTTGATTATTTTATATTTTTTACATATATTATTCGAATTAAAAAAGGTTTTGCTCAATATTTTCGTTAGAAAAAAACAAAATCTCAGGCTTTTACTCTCAAAAATTATACGTATGATATTTCGGTATACGCATACATACTACGTTTAAACAAAAAGTGAACTCAACTATGTATTTGAATATTCGTCAAGCTGGAAATTGACGTCTTTACACCGTGCACGTATAAAAATTTATACGCAAATATAAATACGCGAGCTATTTACATAGTAATATAGTATAAATTTAATTTAATTCCAATTACAAAGGGATGTTTTTAATAAAAGGAAATTATGAGCTTCATTTCATCATCAATTTTTTTCAATAGAATGTGTATAAGTATGTTTGTGCGTAACTATATACACACAATATATGAAATTTAAAAATTCTTACGTATATGACACTTTCCAAATACTAAATATTTCTAAGAATGCACAAAAATAAAATTTTAAATTTTGTTTTTTAAATTTGGACGTATTAGTTCTAGACGTACATAAGATGTTCGTTTAACGTAATTTGTGTTACGTCAATTTTTATTAATCATATACATAACGAATATAGATATGTATGTAGGTAAAAGGTACTATCTATTTATTTGCATTTTTCTTAAAAGAAGTTTTTGGAAAATTTGATTTTGAACATAAGACGCAATTTTAAGATGAAAGCACGTATACGTAAGTTATAATTAATTCGTACGTAAATAAGATTTTATTTTTCTTAAAATGCTTGAAAATAAAGCACAGGCTCACGATTTGGAAAAACATAAAAATTAATGAATCATTCTCGTGTATACAAGTAAAATGTTTTTAAAACTTGAGGACAACCTAAAAATTGAATTCTATATGATTGTATGTAGATTTAAATTAAGTAGGTTCAGCAATTAAATTAGTCAATCTTTTCCAGTAAAATCTTTGAGGGTGTGCAAACATTTTTCATTGGAACTTTAATTTGTTTTTAGTTGTAGGTATTCTACTATTATATATCAACTCCTATAAATCTGATATTTTACACGTTCGGCATATTAGAATCGAATAGTATTTTAGCACCTGATGAGACGCTGTTAGAAAATTAAAGAAAATGTGTAATTTAATTAAAAACATAAAAAAAAAACCAATTAAGGTGCAATATAAAAAACATTCCTTAAGTATGATTCTCAAATTTAAATGAAATTTTTTCTAAATCACGACTGGAAATTTTATATTCCAAAAATGTCTTATTTAAATTAAATAAATTGTTATTAACAATTAAATAATAACTTTTTATTATGTATGTCTCTATAGCACCATCTATAATTTTAGGAATTGGTGACTGTGTGTGATAACATTAATCGGAAAATTTTGTTTAATTAAATTTTTCTTGTTAAATTTAGAATTTTATGTTCTGAAGCAAAAAAAAATTGTAACGCTTTAATTTGGTAGTCAGATGCACATAATATTTTTACACTTATACATATATACATATTAAGATACAGACACGTGCTGATAAGATTTTTTTTCTTTTAAAATAATATCGAAAAATTATGCTAAAAAAGACTCTCCATTTTTAATAGCAAATTTACTGTTGCACTATTATAGATTAAAATAATAAATTTAGCATATTTTTTATTATTAATTTAACTGTTAAATTAATTTTATATAGAAATAAAACAGTTCAAACTATTCCAGAATAGTTAAGAGTACTTTTCTTGTAAATTTTAAGAGTACCTTTCTTGAAGAGTTGAGAATACTTTTATTTTTTTTACGTGGTAGGCCTCTGGTATATCTATATATTTTTCTAAAATAATTCTTTCTATAAAGCGGTACAATTTAAAGTGTTATAAAGTCCAAGTGTTAAATTCTCCTTCCTAAATGAAATACATATTTTTTTTTTATTTATTTTTAAAATAAACATCCTAAAGTTATCTGTAATCATTTACGAAACGAATTTCCTCCGCCAATTCCATATTAAATTACTATATTTATAAATTATAATTTATTACAAAAACAAATTACATATATATATTTTTTATAATATAACAGTAAAAACCGCAATTCAGATTAAAATTAATTAAAAATCAAATTAAAAAGAAAATATAAAAATAGACAATGTATATATTGATTATGACAATATTAATTTATTATTGTAAGATGAAAAAAATATTTTATATATGTATAAGTACATATTTTAAATTATAGGTATATGTATATGCACTAATTATATTTATATATTATATTTGACATACAAGTATAGTGTATTTCGAATATGCATTATTAAAATCTTGTCAAATTTATAAAGTATTAAATTGTTATATGTCAGACTGTATAATCGAATCAGTACTATAAAGAATAATAAAAATTGATTTTATTTATTTTTTATAAAAAAAATATTTTTTAGTGATTTAACTGAAAAAAATCACTTAAATTACCTTTAAAATTCCAAATCATTTACATACGAGTATTCATCAATGAATTTTATGACGTCAATATACAACCATAAAAGTACTATAACTTTTGTACTATAAATATGACATATATGTATGCAATGTACGAGTAATTAGAAACACTCACTAATATGATTTTAAACAAATACAAATAAATTGAGATATATGTATATTTTAATTTAATTATATGTGTATAATATTCTAGTATTTCTCTGGTTTATGTAAATTCATTTTAAAACAATACAAGTTTTACTGATTAAGGTATTCTGGCTGTGGTTTGAAAAAATTTATTCCTAAAATTCTATAATTAAAAAAAAAGTATTTCTACCTGTGTTTGTATATTTATTAATGCACATATATATATTTTAACATACATTAATTAATTATTTTAAAGTTTTAAAATTATAATAAATTAAACTACATTACGGGTATTTTTTATTTATATATACATATTTTCTTTCTTTGAACAAAAATTTAACAAAAATAAAAAGAATTTATAATTTTATTTTAAAAATAAATTCTCGGATTTTCCAATAATTTTTGTTATACATATAATACTATTTATTTCTTCTTTAAATCTGTGATTTTCAAAATTTTGTTTATTGAAATTTTGTGTTTAATTTATTTAAGTATTTAATTAACATGCTAACAATGACGAGCTATATGTGATGGAAACTAAACCTTGAATTACAATAGAGATTTATAAACGCAATACTGTAAAGCAATAACTACGAAACGCAATACTGCAAAAGCATAAATTTATGACAATGCAATACAATATTTTTAACAATTCTATCTCAAATCAAAACAATTCATATGATTTATGTGTGCTACTCATACTAATTTTGTTATGTTCCTAAAAGTTAGCAATGTTTATAAACAAATTAGGTTAGCAACATTTCACAACATAGCGCGTTAATGGAAAACTCCAATAACACGAGATTTCGAAGATAATATGAAATAAATCTTTTTTGCTAGAATATTTTGAATTGAAAATGGTAATCAATTGCTCATAATCTAATAATCCTATAAGCAAGTAAGCTTAGGATTTAACTAATTTGAATATTGTTTCGTATAGTTACAAACTTCTTCGTTTTTATTTATTTGCAATTAAAATTTTATTTCATACTTTTCTGCACAAGTCACATAATGAATTATACAATATCAGTATAATTTTAAAGCTGTTCGGAACAAAAAAACTTTGAGAGCCTCTGTTACAAATGAACATACATACGCACATTACTATTCATATTATGCTAATTTTTATATCAAAGACAATGTATTGTTTATAGAAATATTGTATACATATATAAAAATTTACAGTCATGCAAATTATTATTTTATGATAATATTTATTAAAATTTTATAATAACATGACTTCAAAAATTAAAAACCTGTACATAACTTAAATCTTAAAAAATATCTAATATAATTACATTATAATTCAAAAAAAAAAAAAAACTGGTCAAAATATTCGATTGTCTATTTAATTAATAAAATACCGCAAAAATAATTAATTCGAACCATCGATTTAGAAAAAGTGACATAAAATTTTCAAGGCATATGACGTAAAAGAGTTTATAAACATTTATTTTTTTTTTTATTTTTCTGATTCTAATTATTATTTTTCTCTTATCCTTGAATATTTTTTTGTAAAATGATAATTTTTTATATCTGAAAAATAAAAATGTTCGGTAAATAAAATTCGAAATGAGAAAATTTTCAAGATCGTAAATTTTCGAAATTTCTTAAAATGTTACTCGTATCTTTAATATTTAATATCTTTCTTAACTCTGCACTTAAATTTCTAATCTACAGAAACTTACCTTTTCAAACTTTGTCAGACTTGCTACTATATTCGAACATGCTTTTTTTGTAGTAAAGGTTTATCGAACATGTTCGATTTATATTTGTATTGAAATTTAAATTACAACTGAATTTTCGAAAATTTTCATATTATGATGCCTCCTGCTCACAAACCATTGAAATTTTAGACTATAAAATCATAGTTCGTCAATTGAAGTGGAGCGAAATGGCGGTTTTTCATCTTGAAATAAATATTTAAATTTCTAGATTATCTTAGGTCCTCATTTGCACCATGTCTCAACATTATATTGTAATTACCTTTTTTTTAAATATTTTTAATTTTTCTCTTTCGTAAATTGATTTTTCTCTTTCGTTATTCGGAAATTCAACATATTTTTTTTTTACTTTAATATTTTCGAATTATGTTTATTATTAATCATAATGATTCATTTAATTATCTTTCAGTTAACAAGATCAAATGTTAGTTATTATTACTTATGGTGATTGGTGGTGATCTTTCAACATATTTATATACAAAATACTACAATTGTATTTTCTCTTCTTCTATCATATTTTCATTATTTTTTTTTATATATTATTTTAATAACACATATACACAATATACATTCATATAAAGATAGTTTAATATAATATTCAAGTTGAAAAACAAGTCAATCATCAGTTCACATTTAATGTTCAAGGCGTAAAGTTTAAAATTGCGGTGAAACTACGAAACAAAAAATAAATAAAATAATTAATTTTTTTTTTTTTTTTAAATTAAAATTAAAAAAAAATACAGAAGAATAATTAATAAAAAAAAAATTAATTTAATTCTGTTATATAAAAAAAAAATTATTTAAAATTTTATTATTAAAAAAAAGAAGTAAGAAAATATTTTTTTTTTCATTACTGTAAAAAGTTTTTCTCTTTGTTCAATTTTTAATTTTTAATTAATTAATTAGTGTTGATATGTATGTGTGTGTATGTCCAAATTATTTTGCATATGCAAACATTCATACATATTTTAAATAATTTTGTTGTACGTATAATTTTTGTTGTACAAAAAGCGATTGAAGTTCCTAATTAACATTATTCGTATGTATAAGAAAAAAAAAATCAAGTTTCACATAAATAAATTTATTGTTAAAACAAAAAATTTCAGGGATATATGGTTGTTGAGCACAGAAAAAAATTATAATAATGAATGTATGTACGTATGTATGTAATTGCAATTTTATTTTTTCGGAAAAAGTAAAAGTTTCCTCTTACAATTGAAGTGGTTTCTATTTTTTTTTTGTTTTTTGGTTTGGTTTTGAACCTCATACATGTATGTACATATAAGTAACAATAGAGAAAAGAAAGTAAATTGCGAAAGGTGCTCGTTACTTGTTTTTTATTTGGTATTTTTATTTTATTTTAATTTTCTTGCTGTTTTAATGAAAATTAATAATATATTAAAGAAAAAGCAAATTTATATACCATGACTAAAACAGGTATTAAAAATTTATAAGGTAGATTTTTATTCACATTTATGTAAAAACAAGCGAAGAAAAGCAGAATAAAAAACAAAATGTTAAATTTAATATTATGTATGTGTATTATAAAAACAAAAAACAGAAAATGTTATAAAATATTTAAAAGAAAAACATTGAACGAATTTTTAAAATATGTTTCATAATATCTTAAATAATATACACACAAATGTATTAAAGTGTTGAATAATAATATTAAATAATAAAATTGTATACATTAGTATGTGCAGGTATAGCTACCATATTTATACATACATATGTATGTATGTCCATAAATTGATGTTCATAGTTTAAAAGAAGGTGTGACATACGCGATATTTAAAATTGTATAATGCAAATATTTTATTAACCCTTGAGTTTTAAATTTTTTTTTTATTAAAAAAATGTTGAATTTTAGCTTTAAATTAAAAATTTTGGCTAATATTATATTATGTGAAGTAGGTATGCCAAGAAAACAGCAAAATAAATTTGCCCTTTCTATTAAATTTCCAAAATTTACTCTATTTACATCAATATAAGTAAAACTGCGACATTGGTTTTGCAATTTAATAAAAGACCCATAAATTTCGATTTCCTTTTATACTTCGATAAATAGTTCCCATATTTGAAGTGTTAAATAATCAATTGAATTAATCATTTACGTGGAATATTTTGTAGACTAATTTTAAAACTGTTATATTGGTATAATAAAATATCAATTTGTTTTTTATGTAATCTTTGACAAATAACATCCGTCATGTATAGATAATAGGTCTTGTTATGACTCAATTTTTTTTTTTCATTAAAAATTGTAATTTAAACATTTAGAGTAATTAATTAAGTGTTTACTGAGTACTATATATATTTTAACTATATAATTGCAAACAATACTTTTACATTATAAAAACTAGTATTTTAAATAGTTTATATTGGAATAAATTTGTATATTTTAAATAAAGATGAAAATAAGAGTAACGAGATCTAAATGATAACAAATAAATAACTTACAATATAAAATTCATAATATGTATATATGTATTTATTAGATAGTTATGCAATTTTAGAAAAATTTCCATTGAAATAATCTTGTCATTTTAAAATAAATAAAATTTTTATTTCAATAAATAACTATAACATCTTAAAAACAGAAACAGAGGAACTCGAAATCTGTCATTCAATAAAAATTGACATGAACTGCCAACATTATACTCATTTATTTACTTTATAAAATAATATACAAACAGTATTGGTAAGCTGAAATTTCAAGTTTAGTACATATGGCATTAGTCATATCTTTTTGTAATAATGTCTTTACATATTTCAAAACGATTAATTTCCTATAATTTTATTTGAATGTAATCTGTTTTTTAGTTTCCTTCCTGCAATTGAACACAAGAAACGTTATATAAGCATTATGCGTTTAAAAATGCAAGATGGGTGACAGCACCTTACCTAATTATGAATTTATAAATTTAAAATTTTGATTAAATATGAAATATAAAAGTATGTATATAAAATATAAAAGCAAACTACATAGCTGCATATTAAATTCACTTCAAGGCAAGATGAACAGAAGTTCAATGTTTGATCACTTATGAAATTTTGTTTTAGAGAGGGAGGATTAATTAATAAGTACAAGTAATAAAAGTTCAATGACTATGACTTCAAATATATATTTTAATATTATTTTTATATCACGCTATACTCTTAATAGGAAACTCTTCCTCTCGCTTTATTTTCATTTTATGATTATTTTATTTTTCATAACCAATAAGTGTAAAGCAGAAACTTAAGCATTTATTCAATATATTTTCCTCAAATAAAATTTTTTTATTAAAATTTTTCACGTAAAAATCAAAATGAAGAAAAAAACATTACGTGATATAAATTTTAAAAAATTATAATTAATAATTTATAATTGGGAAATTTTATTTAAATTTTATTCTTTGTATTTACGAACATAATAAAAATATAGTAGAACTTTTAGACTTTGTATCGCATAATATTTATACTGTTTTTGCTCTTTTGAGGTTGTTATCATAAAATCTTATAAACAAATGAATAAACAGGCAATAGAATTATATTTTGAAGATGTAGTTTTTGTATGGCAAGTAGCTCCTAAACTTCTTAATAGTAAAAATATTGAAATACAAATTTCTTTTCTTGAATTCACATGTATAAATGTATGACGATCACAAATCAATTTCTAGTTCCAATAGTTAACACCAGAAAGGCGTTGATTTAATTATTAGAAAATATTTATTTTTTTGCTTATTTTTTATTTCCAATTAAACAGAATTCTCTTTATACAAAAAAGAAACAAGATTTCAATTAATTATAATTAAGTCACTTAATTATTTATCATTGTTCATAATGAGAAGACATTTTGAACAATGACACTTAATCATTCTTAAATCAATAATTTTTTTTTATTTTATTTTTAATAATTGAACATTTTGACCATAATTTCTTAATTAATTTACGAGTTATCTATATATATACAATACATGTAAAATTATAGTACATATACACTCAATTTTACAAAAAATACTCAATTATTATTTCTGATTTAATTCCGATTTTAAAAATTTTTTAGTCAAATTTCTATAGAACCTGAAGATTTAAATATTATGAATTTATTGCATAATTTGAATTGAAGATTATCAAAATGTTTAAACCCTATATGACCTTTAATATTTCTTAATTAAAAAAAAGAGTATTGATAAACTAAAATAATCAAACAGTAGTAAAATGAAAACAAAAATAAATTAATATTTTAATGAAAAAATAAAATTTCACAATATTATTATTTATGCATTTATTAAAATATTTTATGAAATTAAATTAAAAGAAAGTAAACGGTTTTAATATTATAAGTACTTTAATTTTAAATAATATAAAGTTCTTTGTTTAGCTATTCGAAATACCTTCTATCATAGACAAACATTTGAATCCCGTGTCGATAAGTTCACATTTAATACCCTAAGGCTCGCATGATGAATGTAGGTTTATTACAATTATAGTAATGGTTCTAGTAATTAACCATTACTATAATTGGTCTCGTCAATTTATTTTCATAAGTATACCATTTTAATTTGACTTTATTACTAGCGTTAGTTAGTCACCTGTATTTATGTTAATTTTCAACATTTATTTTATGTTGGACGTTGTTTATCAATTTTACCTTCACATCAATATTTTCCTGTTTGAGGATCCTTATTAATTGAGTGTGATTTCTTATATTACCCACTATTAATGACGGAGGGTTCTTTTGTTTTTTAAGTTCAACATTTTCCTTTAATAGAAATCTCTTCACTTTAGTGTTATTTATCCGACGCCTGTTCCAATCTGGTGAATTTTTGACTTTATCTTTGAGTTTCTTTTGGCTTTAAGAGTCCAATCGGTTTCTCTGGCCAACTAATCCTTATCTGTCCCACGCACCACAACATTCATTTTGTTATCCTCAGTTTCAGACTTTGGTTTGCAGATTTCATTTCTCAGCTCCTTGCATAAATTTCTAAATCGCTTATATGCGAATCGAACACTGATTTATTTTCCTTATGCAACACGCTTTTTATATTATCTTCAGAAGTTTAATTTTTGCCTTCTTCAGATTTTATTTCTTTACAACCTTCTACGGTTTTCTTAAAACTTTCTGCTAAGCCCTGCACTCTGGACCATGCAACCATGAATTTTGTTCGAACATTAGTGGACTGGTACCATAAGCAAATACTGTGTGCTTGTACCAGTCTATGGTTAAATACTGTGGGTATTTCTACTTCTCATTCTAGCAGGGAAAATTTTCATAACTATAACTATGCTTATTTCATTATTTTAAATTTGTTGAATTAAAATTTCAAAAATATTTCTTAATCTAAACGTAAATACTTTTTTTTAAGAAATACGTAGCTATTTAAAAGTTGTATGTGTTAAATTTTATTTTCGATCGAATACATAAGCTCGATTGTTAATTACCTAATAACTAAATAAAAAAGTCAAAAAATTAGAAAGAAAAAACGTGGAATTCTTCAAGGTCACGTTTGACCTTTTTGTTTATTTTTTTTTTTGTTATATTATCAGAAATTTTAATCATACTTTATAATACATCAGGTTCTTCGTTTGTAATATTTTAATTCAAGAAACATATTCCATTTTTTTCTGTCATCTATTTAAATAAATTACTAACTTACTAATAATATATAAAAACTTGTTTGGACCGAATTTATTTAAAATCAAAGAAAATATTATCAATTTCACACATTGAAGTATTAATTAATATTAATTGAATTATTGCTAATGTTATATTGAAAATCGCTTCGGTTTTTTAATAAATGATAAACACTGGCAACTAACGTCTTATAGTTTCAGTCTTGTAATACCAATGAATGTATTAGTATAAGCGTATTAAAAATGTACCAGTCCTTTTGGACGGCTAAGAAACAGACAACTGATAGATATGGACTTAACTATATTATATGTTTGATCAGAGGAGAAAACTCGATTTGGAGAAACTATGCCTGTCAACACAGTCAACTCTTATTTTTCTTGCTTTTTTTCAATATGTTATTAACTCTTGGCAAAAAACTCTTTTATTATGAAAATGAAATATTTTTAATTAAACTTTAGATTATTTTTGTATATCAAATACAAGTTCTTAATTCATATTAACTGCAATTGTAGTTGCGTGTTAGCCTAAAAGTATGCAAACTCAAAACTCAAAAAATTTATAATCCACCTCTCATGGTTGTATCACTATTTAACTCAATGGTATCACTATTTTACTATAGGGTCTAGCTTTATCACTAATTATTTTAAAATATATAAGAACGTGCTTTTTGAATAAGAAGAAAACTACAATAACTGGCAAGACTGCAAAGCATTTTTGTCAAATTAGTCATTTGGTATTTTTTTCAATATTTGCGAAAATGCAAATAAGATACATATTTTATTTATTTGTTATACATGAATGCAAAAACCAAAATGAAATAAGATAAAAAAAATAATCACGTTTTAAATTGTTATTCAACTTATTGGTATAGTTTCAGAAAAAAAGAAAAAAACTTAATAATATATACCGCAAAATTTCGAATGTCAATTTATTGTTAGCACAAAAATTTAAGTAAACACTTTGAATAAACTTAAGTAAGATATAGTTTATTTTATTTCATTGTTAGTTTAACACGATATAGCAATTTTATATTTGTATAAATCCTGCAGTATAACTTTTACCATCGCATTCAACTACAGAACATTAGTTGTCCGTGTTTCTTAAAAAGCCCAAGCGAGTTCCAATATGAATATTAAGCGAATAATGGCTTCTATTGCAATTTGAACAGAGAATTCGGATAGCTGCATTAACACTCTAAAATATTATTTGAAATATTTCAAAAACAAATTGGGACAACATTATGAAACAGAGTGCAGAATTATAGTTTTCACATACATACTTCAAAAATTTAATCCAGCTGACTCACTAAGATTTGATTTTATAATCTAATGCTGCCATAGTGTAGTATGTAATTTGCTTGGGCGAGGTCGCCTGAAAAGTTTTTACTTGTTTTAACAGCAATTATTGTGTGTTTTCTAATAATTATAGTAATGAGTACTATCAAAAAACAATCGAAATATAATTTTATAATTGCCAAATTTTTCTTCGAAAACTTTTATTAAAATATGACATACCTATATATACACAATGAATATCTATGTGTAATATTATAGTATCCATGTATGTATATATGAATAACACGATTAATTTTTAACACATTTTATTTTGTACAAAAAAAAATGACGTCATCTTAAAATACAATATTAAAACTGATTTCGAATTCTCTCTCTTGAATTTTGCATACAATACAATACATGTTATAATAGTTTATATATAAGATTTGCTCTTACTAATTGCAAGTAAGTTTACATTACTATATACGAAAGTAAATAAACCAGTACTATACAAATGCATACATATGTTTTATATTTACAAATAATATTTATTAATGGTTTTTCCATTTCTTCAAGGAACTTGTTTAAAACTAGTTGATGAGCATTTTTTTTTTACTTAAATATTTATTATTCAAATCAGCTTAAAGCACTGATAATAAGGGAAATTGGGAAAAAACTACAATATCATTTTTAAATTTTAAGATTATGAATCACGTCGGATAACGTACCATGTTGTCTGTAAATTTGTATAGTACGCACAAACGTATATGCAAAAATTGAAATGTCATTTCTAAAATTTATTACAGATTTTATTAATGTGGAACACTATTATATTTATTTTTTTACACTGTAAGGTTCAATCTTACAATATGTATTTAGCTCATAACGTCATTATGGCATAAAATCAATAATTTATTGTAATAAACCCAGATCACACCACAATTAGTTGTATTAAACGGTTTCTACATTTAAACGATGTTTAATTTACACTATTCTTATATGTCTTTCAATTGCATACTTTTAGGATGTGAATGAGGCATTATAGGAAACAATAATATAGCAGAGGAATCGGTTTACTAAGGTTTATTCATGTCTAAGAAACATTAAAACATTAGACTTCGACAGCTAACAGTCTATAGGAGAAAAATTTTACTAAAATTTAAAGTTTCAGTAGTAACTTTATTTAAGTAAGGTTTATACCTAGGTATACCGTCTTATAGGTAGGCCGTCTCGTGCTACCTATATGACGTTATTTCTGTTTGTGGAATTTCAAAGTTGTTTCAAGGTTAACTGCCTGGACATGAATGATAGTTTTAGAACTTTAAGCATTTTCAGAAATCTATGGACATATCTTGTATCCAAAGTTACAATAGAGCCAGCAAATTTGCTATGAGTATATGGAAAGTACACTTCAAATATCATACTTTCATTCATACTTAAATTTTGAAAAATATTTAAAAAATCAACCTTGATTTTTAAGATAAAAGTAAAATTTATATTAAATTTATTATAGGCTGGTATTGAGAAAAAATATGTCAAGTTAATTGGGACAAGTTTCTTCTTTTTATTAAATCATTTGCGTGCACAAGGTACACTTAATGTGTTATGTAAATAATAATAAAAGAAAATGTATGTAGCGTCATAAAATAATATTTATATTATATATTTATGTTTATTACTTACATAATGTAATTAAATGCATATATATATATATATTCAAGAGAAAATACCTCATGTACAATACACATAATATAGAAATATAAAACGTTATGTGAAAACGTGTTGTAAACTTTTAAAATATTCTGATTTTATCTATGCTTTTAATATAGTACTGTAACTCATTTATAAGGAACGTTAGAGCTATTATCTGAGATAATGAAATTAACAGATTTAAAAGAATTATTGAATGAGCAATAAAACATCAATGCCATTGTAATATTGCATATATGTGTATATTTGTATGAAGTCGTTTATGTCTGGAAATTTATTCACGCCTTGTAATAATGCAATTATTATTACAGCGAGCAATTAATCTAAAATTCAAAATGAGTTTTTTTTACAATATTTACGTAGGTATAGTTTTTAATATAAGGACCTATGTGTTCATACTTTAAGATTGAGTTCTTAAATCTACTCATACGAAAAATTTAATATCGTAAAAATGATAAAAAATTAACAGCAAATTTTTTTTTTATTTCAGGTATTGCAAACACAAAATGAGATTAATAAGAGGAACTATATCATCTTTGATGATAATTTTTATGGTAACCTCAACCGCCTATTCTCAATCTTTTTCTGAATCCAATTGTTTACTAAATCCAAATGAAGATTCATCAAACATAGTAAAAGCACAAAAGACCGATAAATCAAATTTATACCGAGGTCAACAAGATTTTACAATGTCATTATTAAGAGCAGTTAATATGGCAACACCAAATGAAAATGTATTTTTTTCACCATATTCAACATATCATGCTCTCTTATTAGCATATTTTGGTAGCGCAAATAATACAGAAAGAGAATTGATTAAAGCTTTACATTTGGATTGGGCTGCAACTAAACAAAATGTAAAATTTGCGTATACATCCCAAAAAAAATCACGTAATTATAAAGAAAATGATGTTGAATTTGCTTCAGCTGATAAAATTTATGTTGGATTAGATACACCATTACGAGATTGTATTAAAGATATATTTACAGACGAAATTGAAAATGTTAATTTCCAAGAAAAACCTGAAGAATGTCGTAAACAAATAAATAAATGGGTTAGTGATTTAACAAAAAATGAAATACCAGAATTTTTAAGTCAAGGTGATGTCAGCTCTCAAACTAATATGATATTAGCTAATGCGGCATATTTTAAAGGAGAATGGGAATCAAAATTTGATACAAAAAATACTAAAATGGAAGTTTTTTATACTGGACCAGAAAAAAGATCATTTGTTGACATGATGAATCATAAAGGAATGTATTATATGAGTATGTACCTCTTTTTTATTTTTAATATACAAAAATTTCTCCTAAAAACCATTTTAAATAATAACCTATTTTTCTACTAGGTATAAGCGAACAATTAAAATGTCATATTTTGGATATACCATACAAAGGAAATGATCAAATTTCTATGATGATTTTATTACCACCATTAGTGAATAATGGTAGTAGTTTACAAGAAGTTTTAGATAGATTAACACCAGAATCTTTAAAATCAGCAACCGATGATTTCGAATTAAGAGAGATTAAAGTTGGTTTACCTAAATTTACATTTGAGCAAAGATTACAATTAGTACCTGTAAGTATTTATTTTAAAATTAATATTAAAATATATGTTACATACATATATAATTATAATATATAATTTACTATTTTAGATTTTAAATGAAATTGGAATCAATGATCTTTTTACTGGCCGTGCAAATTTAAAAACATTTTCTGATAGCACAAATTTAGCTTTAGGTGATGCATTACATGTTGCCAAAATTAAAGTTGATGAAGAAGGTTCAACAGCAGCTGCTGCAACAGCATTATTTAGTTTTCGATCAGCACGTCCATTAGAACCAACAGAATTTATTTGTAATCATCCATTTTTATTTTTAATATATGATCATAAATTGAAAGCAATTTTATTTGCTGGTATTTATCGTAGCCCTTAAGTTATACATATAAATTATATAAGAATAATGTAGAAATTAAAAAAAAAATTTAATATATGTATTTGTTTTTAAGATTTTTAATTTAATTTTAGTCATTTATCCTTAATTTTAATTGAATAAATTTGAAATTAATTTTGTAATTAATATGTTAATAATTTTTGATAAGCATATGATTTGTATTTGCAATATGTGAAATTTTTTTTGGTTTTATGCAGCATCGAATATCTAATTGACACTTTTTCATTGTCATTAATGTTTTGGCAATTGTTTTAATCACAAAATTTTATTAATTTGCTCGTGTAAAATCTAGATACTTTAAAATCTAGCATTTATTTTAAAATGTAATTCAGTTTTTTTAATTAATCAATAAAGTAAAAAATTAATTTAAGATTTTTGCTTAAAATTTAAACGGTGCTGCTAGTAACTATGAAAAAGTTTGTAATCCTTTTTAATTATCAGACATTTAATTTAAGTAAAATGAAAGTTATTTTTTGTGATGTAAAAAATTTTTGTTAAGAAGTTCTCTTTTTTTTTTTTGTAAATATTATAAATGTATTTAGATAAAAAAAAGGTTGTATGTTTTTTTTAGTTTTCTTGTTACAGCTTGCTATAAAAATATTATAAACTAACAATAATTTTTATTTAGAACAAATATTTCAGTTTATTTGAAAATTCATTTGCAAAAGTGATCAATTAAAAAGTTATGAAGTTATCAACCCTAATTAAATCGACTGTATTTAAAATTGGGTTGCATTAGTAACCACTTTACAAATGATTATTTCCAATTATTACCAATAAGCAGAAAATTTTAATATTTAACAGAGTTTCATATTAATTCCATATAATTTTGTGTTTTCATTAGCCTCACTTTACATTCATATTATATATTTATGTATTGATTTCAATACATACGATAGACGTTGTATTGGAAAATCTCAAAATTTAAATTTATTATTTTAATAAAATTCTGCGTCTTCTGGTTTATCCACACTTGAAATATTATAAATAAATCAATGGTTTTTATAAAATTTTTTCCATTTTTTTTTTGAATTTATTTGAATATAGTATAATTTATTTATATATATTTTATTAAATTTACAGGAAAACTGTCTAACTCAAAATTAAAAAATTCAAGAAAAAAAATTCTAAGTTTAAAATTTAAGGATTTAGGAACATATTTCGAGTAAATTAAATTTAAATTTTTTTTGGAACAAATTTTAGATTTTAATATTTTTATTTCACTTCGTATGTACATATGTACGTCATATTTACTTTTATTAATATTTTTGGGTTTTTGAAAAACTTAGAGTCAATGGAATTTATCGGAATTCTACGGAATTATAAATTTGAATATTATTAATATTAAATTAATAATAACAAACAACAATCTCAAAAAAACAAAAATCCCAGCTTTGAAATGCTTCTTTAAAGACAAAATAAACAAATGACCACTTTATATGTAGTTCTTATTACTACAAAACTAGTATTAAAACTAGTCTAAATTAGTGATATACACACTTACTATCAATATGCTTCTTTAGCAATGTATGCATATACGCATAAACAAACTCGTAATTTATTTATAATTATATACTACATAAGTAGTATAATGCACCGGTTTTATATATACATAACTATTGATGTTTTCAATTGAATTAAATTGAAGGTTTGTAATGTAGCACATTTCATTTTGACAATTTTAATGAAAAAATGACCGTTTAAAACTTTTTAGAATTGAATTAGAACTTTATATAATTAAAATTAAAAAAAAATTGTTTTAGAATAGCATTGTTTTTAATTAAATTTTCCGTTTTGCACAAGTATATTGTAAACAACAAGCGTTCAAAAAAAAAAGCAAAAATTAAAATTTTAACCTGTTGGAGTACTTTTTCCAATTAGCTTTATATACACACACGTATCAGGAAGTTAAATTCTGCAACGACTTCGCTTACATATATTCGCTACGCTTAGATGAAGGGATAATAAACCTTGAAATGCATAGGTATGTGTGACGGGTTATGATATATAATAACACTGTAGTTCAGACACTATAAGACACAACGAAATGAAAAATATTTCGTTACAGAAAAAAAATTAATTTTTATTAACAAAATCTATTTGCTTATAATAGTTTTTATCCCATCATTTCGAACTCATAAACAAACACATAAACTGGCGAACGGACGGTTAGTCAATATGAAATAATTAAATTATAATTCTTTTTTTTTGAAAAAGAAAATGATAATAAACATAAACGTTAATGTTCTTACATTATATTGTGTGCATATATTATACATATATATGCATATATATACATACGTATATAATGATAAAAGTACCTACTTGTTTGATTTATTAAAAATTTTTACAAAGATCGATGATTCATTTAGAAAATACATGAACGTATACAAACTGCGGCATAATATATGTATATATAGAGCATTAAATGTTTATACCCATACGAAAGTATGTTCAAAGAGTAATAATATAAATTTGCCTCATTGTTTGTAACGCTAAGAAATAATGATCTGAAATATAGTCACAAGAAAGTGTTTGTGAACAGTGTCGAATTTTGAGTTGGTTTTCTCAAAATTCGACCCTGTTCAAAAGTTTGTTAACTATGTCTGTCCTTCCGTCCCACCAAAAACTCAAAAACTAATTCAACTAGATTCTCCAAATTTTAACAATTGATTTATAATAGTAAACTCCGGAACCCTATTTTATTCAGATGATCAAGGCAGTAGTTCGGGTAGGTGCCCAAAAGTTATTTGACTCTCAGAAATTATTGAACCTGTCATATCGAAAATTCGCATAAACGAAATTTATTATTCGGGGTGTTATGTGTAATAAAAGTCATTGAAATTTCTTGATATCTTGCGGTAGCCACGTAACTCCAATAGTATTATTCGGTTATTATATTAGAAACTATTCAACATAAATTAATATCGTAATACGACAACCATTATTTCCGTCAAAACGTCTGTTCGGCGGGTATTACAAATTCGCCAATAGAATATCAAGTTGGTATGGATTACACAGAGTTGAAATGATCAACTCAATAAATTTAGTGTTCTTTTTTTTCGTTCTTTTTTTGAATCGTTTCTCAACTATAACATTACGCTTTTTTTACACTGGACATGTTAAAATGTAGAGTATACGTGTACCTGTATTATATATATAAAAACATATAGTGATTGTATAGTTATGCGTATATATGTATAGTATCTATAAAGGTACAACAATCTTTATCGGAGAGAATTAATTAAAAAATTTATAAAATCAAAAAACTTGTTTTTGTTTCTTCTGTTAAATATAATTTTCTTTTCTTCTTCTTTTTTTTAAGTGTTGTTTTCTATACTCGGAATAGTTTTTTTTATTTTTAAATTTAAATTGTGTCTCATTGTTTATTAAAGCTCTAAGAAGTTAACACTCTCACTTGTCTACTTGCAAAGGGAAACGGAGGTTCAAACAAAAAACAAAACAAGGTACTCGTATCTATAATTTCATTTACAATGAAATTGAGAAAAACCTGATTTTTTTTTTATAAGTAAATTTTAATAATAATTATTATTTATTTTTATAAAATATATTTTGGTATTTTATATTTAAAATATAAGAACTTGATCTGGAATCACAGTTTATATTGCATTTTTGGATTCTACTAGCATCGAAATTCTATTATATAGTTGAGAAGATTTGATTTTATATGAATTTTTTTCTGAAAAATTGATGACGAGACTAAATTTTTGTTTATTTAAAAAATTAAATGTTTTATTGTATAGGATTAAAATTTGTATTTTAATTAAAATAATTATTACAGCAAAAAGTTAAAGTTTTAACATTTAGTTTTTGTTGATTTTGAACAGAAGAATGACACGGACACACAATTTTGTTAATTATTCAAGTTTTTTTAATGACATAAAGTTGTTAATTACCATTAAAAAAATGGAAGTTAATTAAAAAAATAACAAATAAACATTACACTTAGTGAATCAAGTTCATATCGTCGCCTCAAGGTTAAACTGCCGTATCTTACAAAATAATGGAAATTGAACTAAACCTCAAAATCAAGATGAAAAAAACAATCAAATGCGTACTAATGCCAGGAAAAATTATGAAACTATTTTTGGAATTTTGTAAGGTACGACAGTATAATTTGAGGGCGGCGATATACTAAAATAATGTTATTTAAATTTTAGATAATTGATATTTGTAACTAGCTTTGATTAATGGTTTGAAGCCACTATTTGTTTTTGTTATATTATATTGATAATTTGATTGTGATGTTGAAAATTATTTAACACCGAAGAAATTTAATTCTTAATTTGTTTGACATTAATCATATTATTTTGAAATATGTTTAATTATAGTAAATTAAAATTATGATTTTTTATACTAGTAGCATAACTTTAATTTTCATTAATATTTTTTAATTTACTTTTCTATTTTCAGTTTATTATACAAAAATAAAGAATTACAAAATGAAATCTTATCCTTCATTATTATTATTTTTAATATGGATTTTTATGATAATTAATACAATTGAGATGCAAGCATTTCCTGATGATATTGAAACATGTTTAGGAGAAAATGAAAGAACTCCATTAAAAAAAACTGATAAACGTAATTTATATAAAGGTCAAGTAGAATTTTCAATATCATTATTAAAAGCAATTAATAAGATGAAACCAAATGAAAATATATTCTTATCACCATATTCAACATATCATGCACTTTTATTAGCATATTTTGGTAGTGTTGATAAAACTGAAAAAGAATTACAAAATGGTTTATATTTAAATTGGGCTGAAAGTAAAGAAAATGTTTATAATGCATATAAATTAGAAAAAAGAATACGTAGCTTTAAAGATAATAATATTGAATTTGGTTCAGTTGATAAAATTTATGTTGGATTAGATACACCATTACGTAATTGTATAAGGCAATTATTTGCTGAAGAAATTGAAAATCTTGATTTTCAAGGAAAACCCGAACAAACTCGATTAAATATAAATGATTGGGTTAGTAATGTAACTAGAAATGAAATAACAGAATTTTTAAAACAAGGTGATGTTAATTCTGAAACAAAAATGATATTAGCGAATGCAGCATATTTTAAAGGACAATGGGAAACAAAATTTAATATAACAAATACAAAAGAAGAAATTTTTTATAGTGGAAAAGGAAAAACCGCACCGGTTAGCATGATGAATCATAGAGGCAATTTTCATTATAGTAAGTTTTATAAAATTTTAAAACATTTTTTCATAAAATAAAATTTCTTCTTTGATTTTTAGCAATAAGTGAAGAATTAAATTGTCATATTTTGGAATTACCATATAAAGGAGAAAAATTTAGTGATGTTTCTATGATAATTTTTTTACCACCATATACAAATGATGAAAATGGTTTACAAAAAATTTTAAATAATCTAACACCAGATAATTTAAATAATGCAATGAATGATCTTGAATTGAGAGATGTTAAACTTTCATTACCAAGATATAGTTTAGAGGAACGATTGGAATTGACACCAGTAAAATATTTAATATTTTAAATATAGATATATATTAAATATATATTACTTATATTTTCTTTGATTTCATAAAATTTTTTTTTGATTTTAGTTCTTAAATATGATTGGAATAAATGAATTATTTACAAGAAGAGCTAATTTACAAGGATTTTCAAATGAATATGGTTTATTATTAAATGATGCATTACATTTTGCAAAAATTAAAGTTGATGAAGAAGGATCAATTGCATCAGCAGCCACAGGATTATTTGGTTTTCGTAAAGAAAGACCAATGGGTATAGTTGAATTTACATGTAATCATCCATTTCTATTTATGATATATGATCATAAAAGTAAAGCAATTCTATTTTTTGGTTTATATCAGGGTCCTAATTAAGAAAAAAAATGATATTTTTTTTATTTTGATATTAAGAAGATTTAATAAAATATAATATTATAAAATTTTAAAATTTATAATAAAAGAAAACGAAATTTTAGTGATAAACACGCTGTACTGTTTAATTAAAGAACTTTTTTTAAACTTTGTATGTATAGCTGTACGCAGCTGTAGTTATAATATGTTCTACAAAAATTGTGTTTGGAATCTCAGACTATTTAAAATATTTTATATTGATAATGGATATTTGTTAAAATAATTGAATGATAAAATAAATTCTGTTTTATACTTTTAAATTTCTGTTTTGTATAAAAAAAATTTATATGTAAATTTTTAAGTTTCCGAATTTTAATCCGAAATATATGTGGGTATGTACATTATACCAAGTTCCAAGATTTAAAACGGAAGACTTCTAATATACATATAATAAAAATTTTTCAGAAATATTGAAATGAAATGGCAACAACATAAATAATTAGTCTAATTTTCAAATAAATCTATTTATAAATTTTCATTCTAAATATTATAAACAATAATATTATATTCAGTGTTATATTCGTCATATAACATGTACATAAGCATAATAAAAACACTGGAAAAATATTTAAATTTTTCCATTTTCTTAAAAATATTCTGTATATATGTACGAGTACATATACATAAATAGTTCAAAGTTTTTTTTGCAAATGATTTTGATTTGTGCGCAGAATTTTATTGCTTTGGTGAAAATTTGTTTGATAAACTAAAAAATATTTGAGCCTCAGCTCAAATTACTCAAATTTAATTTGCACTTATATCATTTGGAAAAACAACTTAAGTTAAAATTTTATAGATGTTAGCTAGTGCTTCAACTACAATTACATTCTTTTTAATATGCATTGTGCATTAGCTTGAATTTGTCTTTTCATAGACGCACCGGTTTTCCTTTAAAAATTTCTGTTATTAATACGCGTTATTCACTTTACCCTTCGCGGCTAAAATAGCAAAATTATATAGATATGTCATTTTATACCATTTCAAATGATTGTTACACCCTGACTTCGAAATAACAGTAGTTCGGCAATTAATACACAATTCAGTTTATGAGTTGTTATTGCTGAAGTATATACAGTAATTATATATACAGTGTATATACTGTAATTTTGAAACCATTCTTTAAATCTATATGCTAAAAAATTTTTAATTTACGCATAATTTTTAACTAATTTTCCATGCAAATATTGTGCACTTTATATTATGTTATATATTATTTTATATAAATGTAATTTATGTAACATATATACAGTTATATTATATTATTATAATCGCCAAATTGAACACAATCATTGATTGTTTTAGTTTTTTTCTTCTTTTCATTCTGATCTATTAAAATTAAATTTAACTCAATTAAAGATTCTCTGAAATTGATTTATAGATTTTTTTATAGTTATGTATACCATGTATATATACATATATACATATGATATATATTTTATATGGTATACAATTAGAATCTTAAAATTTGACTTAAAATTTTTATTTTTCGTTTTTGATTCGCATGAAATTTATAAATAAAATAATAGATTTTCGAATTTTACAAAAATGCGATTTACGATTTATTTTCCGAATTGGAGTATGTTCATACATACTCGTACATGCGAGTACCTCTAGATTTTAATATTTTGTTGATATTGCTATTGATTTAAATATTATTGTTGCATTTACAGAATCATATTTTAGTTTTAAAGAATTTGCAGAAATAATATTGCAGACACAAAATAACTATAACTTTAATATGTCGAATTTTGTAAACTTTACTCTAGTAAGTATTGGAACCAAATATTGTAAAGTGCTGAATTTGTAATCATTGTATAACAATAAAATGGGTTGATTGTCGTCCAGCATAGAATATGGTAATGTACCGTATCATTATTCCATATAAAATAATATATTAATTCAGTTCTGCACATGGGTGTGTGCTAACACAATACGCATCACTTATAATAAGGAACAATCAGAATATTAAGACTTTAGCCTAATTTAAGAAATAGGAACGGCATATTTAACAATGAATGCTAATTCTTTCTGGCAAATTTTTATACAATATTTTGATTAGTAACTAACAAGTAATATCCTATTGCTTAACGCCAACTTCAATTTAATTTCATTGAATTTGAATTATTAAAATACTTTGCCTTTTTCTGACATAAAAAATTTAATTTCATTTTAGATATTAACGGGCAGACGTTGAAGAAAGTTTTCATATGTACGTAATCGTTTTATAGAAGAAAATAAAAATTTTTTTTTAAAGAAAAACTGAAAATTTTTTGCAATAAAAGTAAGATAAATTTGTATATATGTTCATACATATAAAAATAAAAATAAATGTTTAAATAATGTATAAATCTATGAAAATAATTTTAATTGTTCTTGTAAATTCATTAATATTATGGAACCAATCTAATGTTTTAGTGAAGGTCAATGGCGAAAAAAGTAAATAAATATATACTTACATAATTTGTTTTTTTTTTATTATATAAACAATATATGTATGTATGTATAATGTAATAATATTTTAATTTTTTACAATATTTTATAGTATGTAATACAACAGATGTAATCAATGATAATATAGAAAAATTAAATGAATTAAAAGATTGTGAAGTTATTCATGGTTCAATTACATTAGCAAAAATTCAATTAGAAAATATTAATGAATATTTTACATCAATACGTGAGATTACTGGTTATTTATTAATATATAGAGTTGAAAATTTAATAAGTTTAGAAAATTTATTACCAAATTTAACATTAATAAGAGGTGAAGAAAAATTTCTTCGATATTCATTAATTATATATGAAAATATAAATTTATTAAATTTGGGTTTAAAAAATTTAATGCGTATAACAGATGGTTCAATAAGAATAACAAGAAATCCTCAATTATGTTTTACACAAACAATTAATTGGATTGAAATTCTATTAAATATGAATAAACAAGATTTTATATTAAAAATGAATCGTAATGAAAAAAATTGCGGTTATTGCCGTGAATTAAATGATAATGAAAAATTAAATGTTTATAATGAAAATTTTTGTTGGAAATATGATCAATTTCAAAAAGGTAAATATTATAGATTTTATTATTAAATTCTTGTTATATTTAATTTAAAAAGTACAACTCGAAATATCAAATTATTAAGTCTTATTATGCACTTATAAAAATAAAAATTAGAACAAAAATTCTAAACCTACACTGTCTTAAATTAATTAATTGAATTGTTTACTTTGTATTTGAGGTTAGTTTTCTTTTTGAGCTTTGCACTAAAAATTGATTATTATTTTTAGTTTTTGGTATGAATATTCGAAATTATTTTTTTGAAATGTCAACACAAAATTTCACTCAGAACTCTTTAGAACCTTTTTTCACTTGTACTTACAAGAACGGAATTAGTGAATATTGTAGTACATTCATAATTTTGCTGAATTTTCAGCATAATACGAAAAATTTAAAGTTGATTTTTGATTGCTGATCAAATGTTGATTTTTCGTTTGACCCTAACTTAAAATCCAATCATCTTCTGTTTGAAATTGAACAACATAGTAAATTTTAGTTTTGTGTAAACAAAACATTGCAGAATATTCAACAATTGCTTATTTTTCAATAAAATTTGACAGATTTTTACAACTATTGCTAAATAATTGCGGATTGCAAAATAATTGTAGTAAAATTGATCTCATTTTTTAAAGCGTAACTAAATTTATTTGAATAAGTTCTTACTTTAATGAGTTATTTAATTTTAAATGACTCATTAAAAAATAAAACGAAGTCCATCGATTTGAACCAGAGAATATTCAAAATCAGTGTCCGCCTATATTCGAGATATTCATTTCTTTACGAAATATGCACCTACATAGTTCAAAACACTTCGAAAATTAAAACAATTAGAAAACATTTTTTTTATTTTAAGTTTGTAAGAAAATCGATGGTGAGTACAAAGCAGATTCTCAGAAATGTTGCACAGATGATTGTTTGAGCAGTTGTACTTTAGATTTTGGTCGTAATTCAAGTTTCTGTTCGGTTTGCTCAAATTTTAAAGATCCGAATGGGAAATGTGTATCAAGCTGTGGATCAATACTATATGAGGTAAGTTTTTTTTCCTATAAAATTGTAATTCATTTGTGATTTATAATCAAGAATATAAAATAATATTTCCGAAACATTATACATACATACATATATGTATGTAAATATGAATTGTCATTATTAATTACTACTAAAATAATATATTCTTACTTTAAATTTTAGTTAAATAATCGACAATGTGTTACCGCTGATATATGTAAATCATTACAATTAATACCTTTTAAAGAGAAATGTATTAAAATTTGTCCAGAAGGATATATTCAACCAGATGGAAAATTAGAATGTATACAATGTCCAGGAAATATATGTATGAAAGTATGCCAAGGAAATTTAACAATTTTTACTGAATCTGAAGCGAAAATTTTAAAAGGATGTACTAAAGTTGATGGATATTTAGAAATTGAATTAAAACCAAAAAATAGTAAATATAAAAATTTTGGATTTTAAAAAATTTATAATAAGTATTAAGATAATAATATTTATAGCAAAAATAATTACATTGCTTGAAAGTCATTTATCGGATATAGAAGAAATAACAGGATATTTAAAAATTTCCAAGTCACCACAAATAAAAACTTTGAAATTTTTTAAAAATTTAGCAACTGTTGATGGAAAATATCTTTATGAAAATCAGTAAGTTTATTACATCAGACAGTTTTCTTAATCTGTTTTAGTAAGTCCTATAATGTAATCTTGTTTGCAGATATTCTTTATATATTTATGATAATTTCAATTTGGAAATGTTATGGGATGAATCACAAAAAATATTTTTTATGAATGGAACTGCATTTTTTCATTTAAATCCGAAATTTTGTATTAAATACATCTCGAATTTAACTTTTAAAAATAATATTAATTTAAATGAAATCGAAGCCGTTTTTGATATTTCAAATGGCCATGAAACATTTTGTAAGTGCATATTTACATAATAAAAATATAAATATACATGTATGATCAACAATTTTACAAAATTTTATTAATTTTTAAGGTGATCGAACAAAATTTTTTACAATTGTTGAAGAATATAGTGCAACGGCTGCAAGAATAAAAGTAGAACCTTTCATGAGTAAAGATAACAAAAATAATTTCTTAGGATATATTTATTATTATATTGAAGCACCTGAGAAAAATGTTTCAATGTTTGATGGATTTCATGGTTGTGGACATGATAAGTATAATAATTTTTCTTTCTATTTGAAATATATAAAATATTTTTTGTTTTCAATATAAATATATACGGAATTAATTTATTTTTAGTTGGCAAATGAGTATTTCATTGGGTCTTAATATAAGGTATGTTATTAAAAATTTGAAACCAAGTACACAATATGCATATTTTGTAAGAACGTTTACAATAATGGATTATCACTTGAAATTGAATGCTTTATCGGATGTTCAATATTTTAGAACAAAAAATATTGATGATAGACCACTTCCAATAACTAAATTGTTCTTTAATGTTATTAATAGTACAGCAATAGTAAGTAAATGAAATGAAAACTAGTAAGTTAATAAAATATAATTAATTTAAATCTGTTTAGACAAACTTACATATATGTATATGCATCAGATATGCAAAAAAAAAAACAAAGTGCAAAAATTTTGTAAAATATAGAATTATTTTACTAACTGCTATTTTTTTTAAGGAGCTCTTTTGGTGGCCTCCAAAATTTTCAAATGAAATTGTAATGGATCCTACATCTGCAAATGAAACATCACGTTCATATTATATACTACTGAATTATACAATAATAACAAATTATCAAAGTGATAATGCAGATAAAACAATGAACTCTTCATCATGTATTTTAGAAAATTCATACAAATGGCGTGGATTAAATCCAAAAGAAACTGATTATTATAAAAGAGAACAATTTTTGGTGGAAGATTTATTGCCCGATTATCTTTTTATTCCAGCTATTTCATTTTTTAGGTAGGTAAATAAATTATATTTGTTTTGTTTATTATTTTCAAATTCATTTAATCAAACAAAACTTTAAATACTTTTTAGAAAAAAGGAAGAGGAACCACCGCATGACTTTCCAGTTGATACCAAATTTAATAAAGACCGTTTAAGCGGTTTTATTGCATACATAAAAACTATAGAAATGAAATTTCAAAAAGAACAAGATACTGGGATTGCAGATTTCAAGTTACCAGAATTAAATAAAAATGTGACGATTTTAAAAGAAACTTGTTGCACAAAAACATGCATTTGCATAAATGGAATACGTTCAAATTACTTAATTAGAAACTTGAATCCTAATACTTGGTATAAAATTTCGGTTAAAGTTTGTAACAAAGAGGATATATGCAGTTTTGCAACTTATTTAAAGGCCAAAACTATGAAAAGTGTAAACCAAAAATAATTTAAAAAGAAAAAATTATAAGCATACTTACGTACCATTGTTTTAGTAGGTTACAGCTTTGCTAACAGTATTACATTTTACCAAAATCATAGAATAAATTTTAGTAATACTTTTAAATTGAAACAATAAAGTTATGGTTTATATTTTTGAATTTCCATTTTAATTGTAATGTATCCGCATTTATTTGCTGATGCCCTAAAAATATACATATATGTATGTACATATTCTTATTTAGATAAATGGTCGACACATAATATTTGTTTTCCATTTACGTTTTAAACTACTCATGAGTAACCAAAGTTTGACATAACAACACTACTTCCAATAATTGCGTAGATGATATCTAGGTTATGTTATTTTTGTCAGTAGATGGAAATAGTATTCCTAATCTACTACACATGGATTTTGTGTTTTCTGGGCTATTTTGACATTTAATTTTAATATTTGAAATGTCTTTTTTTTAATAAATTGACATTATTGAAGAATAAAAAACAAAACCTTGTGAAAAAAATGGAATAATATCCGTATATAATAATGAGTACATAGATTGAATATGTAAATCGAACGCAAATTATGTAAAATCATCTTAAGGTATTATCAAATATCGTAAATATCTTGCTCTCTGGGAATATTTAACTGTCAAAATTTAACACATTATAATATTTCAAAATCATATGTAGTTTGACAGTTGACATTCAAGTAGTTATTATAAATAGAATCTAGAATCAAATAAATTCGATAATAATTTTATTTAAAAAAAAAAACAATCTATTAGCTTAACGTTTATTAATATAAAAAATGCATTACAATAGAGGTGTATTAAGAACTTTATCTTCCTTTAAGTATTTTGTTCGTAGTGTAAATTCTAATTCAAAAAATCTTACAACACAAAAAAAGCCACCTAATATTTACTTCCTAAGTAATATACTAGGTAAAGCTTAAATAATCAAGTTTAATAAATAATGCTTAAAAGTTTTTAAACAATTTTCTTATTTTAGGTTCAAGCCCAAATAAATGTGCAAAAATTTTGGAAGAAAATGAGAAGTTATTTGATGTTAGTCGTAAAGATATTACCAAAACTACTGAATTTCTAAAATCATTAGAATTCACCGTTGGTGATATTGAATCTAAACCAATGATTCTTTATGTAAATGCAGCAACTTTAGAAAATAGATACGAAACCTTACTGGAGAGTGGTTGTGATCCAGTAACGATATCTATATTATTTAAATATGTTACAATTATGAATAAAGAAGTTTCAGTTTTAAAAAAACATAAAATTATCCGAACTGATTTTGATGTACAACATCAATTAGAAAAAATCTTCGATTCTGACGTAAAAATCAAATTAAATGAAAAACTAGACGAACAATTACCATTAAGAGTTTTTAGAGAAAAAATTTTAAATGCATATTTAGTAGAAAAGTTTCATTTTAACAAAAGCCAATTAGAAAGACAGTGGAAAGTATATGGTAGAATCCGTCATAGAAGTTTTAAATCCATATTGAAAATGGTCAATATATTGACTGAAGAATTAAATTTTCCCTTGGAGCGAATTATCAAGAATGGATACTTAATTTATGGTGACCCAGAAAATTTAAGGAAGTTACTTGAAATACCGAAAATTGGATCAGAAAATTTTAAAGACATTTTGTTTAAAAGACCGAAAATTATTATGTCATCTTACGAATCGGTTTATAATACCATTAAGCATATAAGAGATTTTGGAATACCAGATGAATCTATATTAAAATGCCCAGATATATTGACATTAGGTTCAAATACCGTTCAAGAACGATTGAATGAACTTAAAAATATTGATGAACTTCAGGTTTTAATAAGTAATCCAAGGATATTAAGATTGGTGCATTATCAAAATAAAGCTTTACAACGTCTTGATTATTTAAATAATATGAGAGTTAAATGTGTGTCGCTACATATATTAAGCTGCGATTCCGAAGCTTTCGTTAGGTAGGTAATTTTTTTTTTTCAAAATTGTTTCAACATTTTTTCTTTTTTTAATATTTCATTGTTTTAAGGTTCGTCCGAGAGGGAACTGATAAAAATAAGGGAAAAGACTTATTAGTATATCTGGCTAATATATTTAACTCAACGCAAAAATATATTCGAGATGAATTGTCGAAGCATTCAAATTGGAGCCATATAACTGTTTTACAGGTTAAAGAATGTTTGGAATTATTACAAGCGAATAATTTTAATCTATCAGATATATTTCCCAATATTCATATATTATTATATCCAAAGTAAATATAGTTATGCGTGTTTTTAAAAAAACATATCTGATCACATAATGCGTTCTTTATCAAAAAACTTTATCGTAAATTGCAGGCATAAAATTGAAGAAAAACTGAAAATTCTTCAAACAGATGAATTTTATAAGGAAAATCAATTGAACACATCATATACATATGTGTCTTACAAACAAATATTGACTTTATGTTTGTATCTGATGGAAATAGAATTTCATTTTACTGGAGATGGAGTTTGGGCTGATCAATATTCTAATAATGTAAGTCTTATTAATATGCAATAAATGAAAACTATTATTTATTTATTTTTGTAGGTTGAAAATTTTAACAATCTGATACCAGATTTTTTAGAAAGTAAAAACAATTTGAAGCGTGGGGAATCAGTAGATAATAATATTAAGTCCGAAGCTATTTTATAATGTTGAATATTATGTAAATAAATTTTGTTCATGTTTCCAAAAAACCTTCCTAATTTCTACTCATATTTAAGCTGAAAATATTTAGTAATTTTTATTTTACCTTTATTATTTTTCAATTGTGATTTATATAATTTTATATTTGTATTGATTTTCTGCTTTTAATTTATATTTAGCATTACTGTACGTATAAGAATATTATGAGCTCATACAACGATTACGAGTATATTTAAAGGAAATTGAAAATTAACCTTGAGATTCTTCAAGCTGAAGTATTACAAGTTTCTACACGTGATATTTTCATAAATGCAAACAAAACATAAAGCCTTCAAAAATAAGCTTTTATTTCAAAACATTTTGTTTAGTGCACTACAACTGTTGCATTTTAAATTAATTTTGTATAATGTTCTCATTAGTTCATCCATTTAAAATATTAATTTTCAACTAGCACACTTAATTTTAAAATTTTTACAATTAATTTTTCCTTTTGCAGATGTCGGAATGATAATAATTGATGATTTTATTATTTATCTAATTTTTGGCAAATTATTCTAATAATTAAGGTTTTACTTTCAATTAGTTTCGTCGTTATGGGATCTAAAAGCGAGCTTTACAGCTTCAAAAACAACTTCAGGTTCAGGAGCAGCATCAATTTCACGAACTTTATTTAGCTTTCGATAATGTTCAATTATAGGCAAAGAATCATTTACATAAGTAGAAATCCTTTTTTTCATACTCTCTTCATTATCATCGGAACGTCCAGAACCAGCTTTTCCACGAGCTAAACAACGGTCAATGCAAATTTTTTGATCACAGTTAAAAAATAAAACGAACATAAAATTAACTTTATCGGACATTTTTTTATTCCATCCGTCTAAATTATCTTGATTTCTTGGGAAACCGTCAATTAAAAATTTGTATTTGCCAAATTGTTTAATATTATCCTGCATGGCATTGTCTATTAGAGAACATGTTACCTCAACAGGAACAATTTTTCCATTACGAATGCATTCTTCTATCATTTCACCATATTCAGAACCTTCACGCGATCGTTCCGCTCTTAAGAGATCACCAGCTGATAAGTGTACGAAACCAAATTCTTCAACGATCAATTGACATTGGGTACCTTTACCTGCACCGGGACCTCCCAAAACAAAAACAACTTTCGGTTTTTCGGTCATATTTCTCTGCAAAACAGATTTGCTAGTTGTTGTAAAACAATTTTTTTGATAAATGTTGCTTGATCCGGCAAGATGTAGGTTTAATAAGTATTTTTGTCCGCTACTATTACTTTTAGTGCTTAACCGCACGCAAATTGTATTATTGACTAGATATTTTTTAGCTTGCGTTAAGATTACTCTGACAAAATTATTCACCATTAAACTTATGTCTTTACTTTAAAACTAAAGATAGCTATTATAAAACTTTCCGAAAGTTGAAATTGAAGGTCAACTTACAACAAATAATGATTATCGTAATTATTCTTAAAATAATTTGCTTATTGATGATTTTTAATATTTGAGTCACTTAGAAGTTTAGATAAAATTTTGACAATTGACATTTCGATAAATATAATTGACAGATCATTAATAAAGTTCCCAATAGACATATTCTTATAAGTAAAATAAGCATCGAGAGTCGAAGTCAACTCTAAGAGTTTGGAATATAATAATGAATTGTAAGAACGGACATTAACAATTTTAAAATCTTTTCAAACTTTTTGATTTAAAAATAAAAATTTTTGGAATTGCATTTGTCTTATTACGGCAAATATTTGGAATATCAACATATTCAGTTCTTCTTTTTAGTGTTATGTCTGTTATGCGTGGCCCAAATGAATGAAAATTTAACTTAAACTTATTAAAATACATAGTTGAATATGTATTCAAAGTTATAATAAAATTGAACGATACAGTTAAAAACATATAGTAAACCAAATGTCAAATATTGAATTTAAGTACTATATTACCATAAATAAGCTTTTGATAGTATATTTATAATTTGAAAGTAGTGATGGTAACAAAAATCACAAAATTATCTTACATTAATCTTGTTATTAGTTAAGCGATGTCCTTTTAATTTTACGTTTAGTGTAATAAAGTTGTTGCGCTGCGCTTTCCTGATGAACTGTGTTTTCAGCGCTGTTTTTATTTTTACGTTATTTTGACAATTGAGTGTAAATTCGAAGGAGGTGTTTGTGTTAATCGTTTTAATTATTTTAATTTAAAATTATTTTACTAAAAAATAAATGGAACAAAAATATTAAGGAAAAAACTGTCAAATTTTTTTTTTGTGTAAAATGGCTCAGCCATTGGGTGGGTGGATTCACAGTTTTGCTGTGACTGAAACCAATACACACAAAAAGGGCTACACAATTTATAAAATAACATCAATTGTAAATTGTATTATTGTTTAATTTAATTCGTGGTTTAACTTACCTATTACTATTTTAAAGGTATTTCCTCGATCAGTTCCAGAAGCGCTCACATGCATTTCAGTATGGAAAAGATTTCATGATGTAAAGAGATTGTACCGCGATTTGCAAAAGCGTCATCGGAATTTATCCCTAAATGGAAAGGTTCCTGAACCTAAAAATGATTATTTTAAAAGATTTGATCCTGAGGTTATCAAGGCAAGAAAAGAATATATTCTTTATTTATTAGATTTTGCAGCTCAACATCCAGCATTATACAAATCCCAATCATTTTTGTCTTTCTTTGAAAATGGCTATAGTCCAAATAATTCGCCTTTGCATAAAGTGAATAAAGTAGGAAATATAGAAAAAATTTGTGATAAACTAGACTTAACATACGAAGACAATATAAGCCTTATTGACCCTAAGAAAGATGATAGTAAAATTGAAAATGACAAAGTATGTGTAAAAACAAAATTAAATGAATTAACTGCTTTTGAAAATATTGATAAGAATACTGAGAAAATAGAAGAAGAAAAGGAACATGCAGATAACACAGGTCAAAATTTATCAGACAAGGATGAAACAACAGTTGAAATTTCTAAAACACCAATTTTAACTCCGATGGTGAGTATTGAGGAAGGTGATGTGGATTATATTTATGAGGCAGCTTTGGAATTCAGCCAAGCTGTTCAAGCTGAAGTTAATTTGGAATATCAAGAAGCATACGAGAAGTACAAAAAGGGAATTGAAAAATTGCTAGGGGGATCCAAAGATGAAATGAACGAGGAAAGAAAATTTATTGCCAAAGCTAAAGTAGCCAAATATATGGCCAGGTCTGATGAAATTTATGAAAAATTTATTTTACATCGTGAAAACGAGAAAAAGGTGAATGAGGTTTTTATAATTTTTTTTATATTTTTTAAATAACTCAATTGTGTATAATTTAAGCTTTCGTTCCAATTGTCTATTGATATGTGTGAGGATTCAACAATTGAAACAGCTTATTTGGAGCGGCCATGGAACCAATTATCACGGTTTAAGGTTATGCAAATAATCGATTCAGTCCTTCAAGTTCAAGATGTCACCGATAAATCAACGTATATTTTAAAAGGAATAGAAAAACCGAGTTATAATTCAAAAGCTCAATCGATATTTTTACCACAAGGGGTTCCATATATGGTAGAGTTGATAGGATATTTTCAGTCTGCAGATAAAATATTTTTACTTTTGAGACAAGCTAAAGGAGGGAAATTGTTTGATTACATTAAAATGTACACTCCGAACACTGTTGCATCAATTTCTTTAAATGAAATTTTTGCCGAAATTGAATCTGATACTACACAAACAAACATTTCTGTGAACGAAAAAGCATCGAAAGAACAGTCGGTTCCAGAAATAGAATTTACTTTCCCCGATCCGGATTTTGAACAAGTTTTGGATGACTTTCAAAATCTTAGTGATAAAGACAGCAGTCATTTGAAAATGATACAAGATATATTAAGTGAAGATCAGAAAGACAATAATGTGGATAATGTTGAAGCCAATTCACCTCATGTAAGTAATTGTAGCGAAAGTATTCCCTTTGATAATCTTTCACAAGATATGGATATAAATGATTTAGTTGATTGCTCTCAAAAGTTATTACGATCCGTTTCAAAAACATTGGATAAATCAAAAAATACTGAAACCGAAAAAATTTATGATAACAAAAATGAAGCGATTCAACCAATAGACGATCAAATAGAAAAATACAATATAAAATTGAATGAAAAACAAACTCTGACAGTGGAGAAAGGAGAAAATTTAATAGCACCATGTTCTCCACGAATGAAAATCAAAACAAAGTTTTCTGTTCCAGAAGTAAGTGTTAAACAGTGGGCAAGAGAACTAGTTGTTGCTATTGATAGTCTTCATTCGAAAGGTGTGATTTTAGGGTAATAAATATGTTATTTTTATTTTCTCATTCTATAATAAAATTCTTTTTATTTTTTCTTAGAGATTTACATCCTGATAACATATTGTTGGGTTCAAAAGGTCAATTACTTTTATCTTATTTTCATCAAAACGAAGGATGTGATCCTAGTTCAAATTTTATTTACAACCCTCTAGTCAATGAAACATATTGTATTGCACCTGAACGACCACTAACTATGAAGTCTGATTGGTGGAGCTTTGGTGTTGTATTGTTTGAACTTATTACGGGATGTGTACGTTTTCACTTAATCAAATTATTTCTTTTACACATAGTTTTTATATTTTAAAAATTTAAATATATGTTTTTATTTTTGTAGTCATTCAGATCATGTCATCCTGGTGGAATTTATATGTATTTTGAAGTACAATTTCCAAATATAGATATTTCCCATGATGCTAGAAACTTATTAGAAAGCGTTTTGGTACCAGAGCCTGAAAAGCGTTTAGATATATCTTCAATTAAAGCACATCCATTTTTTACTGGAACATTATGGAACGATTTATATCAAAAAGGTGTTAATTTTATGTAAAATAAGTAAAATATATTATATATATGTATGTACTATATATTTACATTCATATAATATATGTATGGGGTTAGTGTCCTATTTTGAATGTTAATTGTAATTTATGAGTGTTAATTTCTCGAATATATTATTCGATTTTATTTTTATTATACCAAAATATATTATGTTCATGTATCTAAGAAAGATATTATTGAATAACTTACATTATAAATTATGACATACATTTAATAGTTACTTAAAATATTCAAAAAAAGAAAAAACATCATGACTTGTACAACGGATATACAAAAAATTTTGAAATGAAGAATTTAATTTCAATATTATAGTTATATATGTATGTATCTATGAAATTATTTTGATTTCATTTTATAAACTCATTTTTTTTTTTTTTTGCATTAATTATTTTATTTTTCATTTTAAAGAAGAAATTATAATGCAATAGTATAATAATTATTATAGTTGAGTAATTTCAGAAATTTTATGTTACCATCACAAAGATTTATTTTTATCTCTAGAATATTATAAAATTTTCAGTATTGTAATTTTTGTTCAGAATAATAGACTATATATTTTAGTTTGAGAAATTAAATTCCATTTTCAATAAAATAGTAATTATACACAAGTATATAAATAAATTATTTAAATAAATTCTTATTTTTGTTTAAAATTTCATTCAAAATCTTTGTCCAATGCTATATTTTTAGGTAATTTGGAAGATTATCTTTTAATATAAGAGCTATTAATGAATAATGAAAGTAATATCATATTTTCTATATACATTGTTAAATAATTCTTCAATATTTTCTTACAAAAATATTAATCAATCGCAGGTTGATGATTACATCAATCGCAGGCGTTATTAATACATGCACATTTGAAAACTAAATATTGTTTGAAAAATAGTGTCGTTTCCTATGTAGAGATTACGAGTAAATGCATATAAATATATTATAATATTTACATGAAGGAAATACGTTCAATGTACAATTGTTCACTGTTTACAATTTAAACTTTAAAATTATAAAATACGAATTGCTTGAAGAGCCGCTAATATTTGATCTAATATTATTGAATATTATTCTAAAACAGGTAATAAAATTTAGAATATGAATAAAATAAGGAAGAAATAATTATATTGTAATAATAACACATAGGTATGTTCCTATGTTCGATTAAAATAGGCAATTAATTTAACTTATTTTTTATTTTGTGACTTGTAATATTCTTATTTTAAAAATTATACGCAGATCTACAAACTATCATTTATGTTTGGACGAGATAAAAATAAAAATGTACATATTTATGTACATAAAGAAGAAACCGTAATACAAAAGAATATTTTTTTGTTTGTTTCCTTCAATGCTGTTCGTGAAATGAAAGTGATAATAATACAATGGTTCATCTTGACCGATAGCTTGGTAAATTTAAGCGCGCATATAATACCCGCACACACAGATGCACACACAATAGACTTTCCCATTAAACAATTAAATTCAATTGAAATCAATTAAGAAAAAATATTCTAAAAAATATATATATATTTATATAATAAATAATATGCAAGCATAATAAAATTGTATGGTGTGTAAATTCATATTATAATAGAATTTATTTACATATTTGTATATTCATAAAATATACATAATGATTGTATACGCTTGTATTTTTAAACTTTGGAATTTGTCTAAAAAAAAGTTTGAGAAAAAAGAAAAATGTAAAAAAAATTTTTTTCTCAAAATAAAAGTGAATAATGAAATCACATAAACTATACAATGTGATATTGTATTATGTAAATAAAAAGTTGAAAACAAGTGTATACCAAAATAAGGGGGAAAAGTTTTGATATTGCTAGTCGAATAGGTGGTAATCTTATATTTCATTTAATAATTACAAAATTTGAATTCAAATTTATGTTGAATTTTCTACTAGTACCCATAAGATTCTTCTAAAAAATAGTTTAAAAAGTCGAATCGAATATATTGCAAAAGGTAAAAATTTATTTCCAATACAAAAAAGAGATTGACCTTCAATTCTCCCAAAGAAATAAATACTTAGAGAATTGATTTGGGTTTTCTTGAAATACTGACTAATCAAAATTGAAGATTTTTTAAATTTTTAACTTTTTCTATTGTTACAGGTTGAACTATATTACAACATGGCTTAATTTAAATAAAACTCATTGAAAATGACCAAGGAAATATTTGAGAAACAAATAATAGTTGGCTTTCGCATATTTGTAGCACAAAGTACAAAGGCGATACGATAAACATTATTTAAAAATGCGGCGGATTGTACAAAATAGTTTTACTTATATATAATGTATTCGAATAATTATGTACCTACATACATACAAGTCTATTCATTTACTAAAAAATTTCTTTAAAATTTCTTAAAGTCATAGCACTATTTAATTAAGAATGACAAGATAACGAAATAAAAATATCAGAAAATTAAAATATTTATGAGGACAAAAATTTTTCTTTCATATTATAATTTTTTTTTTTTTAAATGCTTTAAAAAAATAAAAATTATATAAAATCATTTTCAGTTTTCTAATATCTCTAAGGCTATGGAAACAGTGGTATTTTATTAGTTGACACTTTGCTAATTTAATTTCGCTTTAGTTTTTATTGTCGACGTGTTAAAAATTAGATTTTTTAATTTTTATAACGTTATTTATTCTTTAATTATGTATGTTATATTTTTGATATTAATATCATTGTAGGCTCTAAGGTTTTAAAATTTAATTATTCCAAAGGTTTAAATTCGAATGAATTTTGGAAGTGAGCGGATTAATTAAAGGCTCGAATGGATTAAGGACAAAGAAGACAAATTTATAAATTTTGCTTCCGCTGATTTCATTATCGTTTAAGTTTTTTTAATTTTAATTAGAAGATCAAACCATTAATTGACGGATTCGATAAATAGAAATAATAAAGATCATTTTCGGCGAAAATGTTATTCTTAAACAGTTGTATGTATTGATAACAGGAAAATGTGCTTCTTTACGAACCATTCTTTTAATTTAAACTTCAATATATGTAGGTAATTGTTAATTTTTTTTCATAATAAGAGATTCTTATTAAATTTATTAAATTATTTTTTAAAAACTTTTTAATATTTTTTATAAAAAATGTTAAACTAATTTTATGACTGTAATTAAATATATTTGTATAACATTCTATAAGTCTATAACAACTTGTATACACACACATGCCCCGCATTTTATACAATTCGGATTTCTAGAAATGAAATCATGAAAAGCTATACAGCAATTAAAGTAAAAGTAGATTACAATTTCTACATATGCTCCGCAAAATTTCTTGAACTTTCAATATTTTTTCTTTTCAACAGAAAAAGTTTTTCATTTTAAGATTCAAAAAGTATCATACTCGTACTATTTATGAACCATCGCATTTTTGTATGTAAGTATGTATGTAGCTATTAAAATCATATTTTTAATATTTTTATAAAATTTAATGAAGAAGAATTTTTTTTTTGTGTGTGAAAAGATTAAGAAGATTCTTTTCAAAAAAAAAAATAATTAGGTTAGCTAGCTATTATATAATATTAGAGAGCATAACTACATGTTTATTTGGCCTCCATATAACAGTGATCCTTTATTTTGTATATATATATATATATTTACATATGAACATAGGTTCAAAAATAGAAAAGTTTTTATTTCGAAGTTTAAGTATGTTTAAAAAAACTTGAATTCTTTTTATTAGTTTCCTAAATGTTTAACAACTCAAAACTGGATATGCTTACATAAGGATTTTATTTTTTCTTAAAAGTATGGCTTTTATATTTTCTCCCATAGTTTATTTTTCTTTTTATTTTTTTTTTAATAGTTAAAGTAAACTTTTAACATTTCAAATGTGCGTTGACTTTCAATTAAAAAAAATTATAAGTACATACAATATTATTACTAGTATGTATATGGAATCTAGTATGTATATGGAATGTAGGAAATGTAGGTAATATGAGGACAATATTAAATGTATGCGTACCAACATTGAGAAGAAACCAAAAAAAAATAAAAATAATTAATGCAGCTTGGAATTAAATGTTATCATTCTATTATGGTAACAGAAGTAGCAATAGTTGGCAAGCAGAAATTTAATAATTGATCCATCTATTTTGAAACAAGTTGAAACTAATATGGTAATATAGTACGTATAGTACGCAGTCATGTAACAGGAACTCCCAATGCGAATTGTTTTACTGCAGTTTGCACCATTAACTTTTGCTTATTCGTTCACATAAGGCAAATTTTCTGCGACACAAACTTAATTTTAATGTAAAACAGTGATTCTTTTTAAACTAGAGGTCCGACTACGAATTTGTATTATTAATTGTAGTATTTTAAAAGTTTTGTAAATCGTTTTTATTTTATCAGCCTTCTATTTGATATCTTTGAACTTCAAATAGTAATTGTGAACCAATGTATTTACATTAAATTCCAAATGGTTATTGTATAAACACAAAACTTATTATAAAGAATTAACCTCAACCAAGAATCTGTAAATAAATTTTAAAAACAAATAAATTAAACACGGTCTGTTTGAAAACGCAACTTCCTTATAGTGGTGAAATACATAAATTCTGATATGATTGTGGTAAAACATGATCAAACATTAATATTGTTGGTAATAATTTAATCGGTCTTTTAGACTTATTTTCAAGTATTTTAGATTTCTTTTTTAATTAACTGCGGTCACCACCCAATACTGTACAAATGCTGATAGAGAACACTATTAAACAAAACCAATTTTGCTTTATGGCATTTTTTGTATTTTAGGTAAATCTTGTTTGTATGCAATTGTATTGAAGACATAAAAGATTCATATGCATTTTCCAAGTCATTATTTAACTATTATTAATATATATATTCTTACACACTTATGTATCTATATACATATATACATACGCTTTGAAATATTTATTTACTTATCGCTAAGCCATTTTTAAAATAATGTCCTTTAAATACGTTTTCATTTATAAAACATGAAAAATATAAAAACAAGTGTTTTTTTGTTTCTTAGCAAATTTTTGAAAAAAAAAAAATTGAAAAAATGTGCTTATTAGTTTTACTCTGTCCGTTGAAGAAAAGTGGTCCGTTTGTCAGTATGTGTTTGTTTAAAAATTTTCTATCCCTTTTAAGAAAAATAGCCAAAATTTTATAAATAAATAGATCTTTGCAAGGAAATTTTTACTTATCTCCTCATTTTTAAAAGTTGTAGCC